TTTATTTAGTTGAATAACTAATTCATTTACAATAGTAAATACATTGTCACATTATAAATAAAATAATATCAATATGAAAAAATACAAACATTCTGATTAAAAATACATAATAACTTGATTGAGTAATCATGTGTTACAGAAAGCAATTCTTCCTCCTCCCCCATCCTCGGGCAAAGAACGGGCAAGTAGAACATCCGAGTCAAGCAGCATTTTCAGCCCCAAGACTCCACACACTGGAGCGAGCATGGATACGCACAAGAAAAAGGATTTCTCGTTTTCACATGAATTCAACAGTTCACATGAAGAGCCGAGCAGTGGTGATTGGTTTACACCATCTGCTGGCAACAGCATCTTCGAAGATCCTTCGCCTTTGCCTTCGGAACCAACGAAAGACGATAAGCACGAACAGACCAAACAGGAGATTCTTTCTCAGTTCGACGTCTTCACAGAATTGGATCCTTTAGGTGAGTCGATTAGTTCGTTTTAGTTGGTTTGGGGCTTGGAGTTTGTCTGAGAAGTGGAGTAGTACAGTAAGAAATCTAAGATTTTGGTGCATTATGAGGAGTTTTTTTTGATTTCTTGTTGAATTGCAGAGATTAGGACTTTTCCTGAAACTAGTGGCATATTTGAAACAAAGAAACGTGAAAAATAATTCATTTTATATGAATAAAGAACAGAATATGTTGTTGAAAAGTGAAAATAATATAGAAAGTAATTATGAAATGACAAAAAATACTTTCTGGGTTTTTAATGTTCCTTGATCTAAGAAATAATTAAATTCAGAACAATAGAAAATCAACAAAAGTATAATGAAGGCCAAACTAGAAAGTTCACTTTGCGATGTCATCGCTTCATGTAAACTTCAGAAGAAAGGCTTCAATTAATCAATTACTTTTCATTTTCATAATTTTTTTTTTATCAAATAACAATTAGATTTTACTTAACTTCCCAAACCTGCTTTTATTTTTAAAAAGTCACCTGATTTAGATACTTGAAATTTCAAAAGAATTGAAATGACCGAAACATACTTTCGGTTGTATAAATGCACTGGATTTCCATATTCAATTTCTTATTTCAGCGTTGGCAACCAGGTACCGTACTAAAAGCGAAAGTAGCAAGTTCCGTTTGTTTTAAATCATTGGAAAGACTGCATTGGAAAACTTTTATTATATAAGGAGAATGTTCTCCAACTGAAAGAGTTCTTAAAAAGTGTAATTCGAAGTGTACTAAGTTGAACGTCGAAACAATAGGCAGCTATATATTGCCGGATACGTCTGACTCATACTGCTCTGGGGGGAATCAAGAGGGCTAAGTCAGTCAAACACTTTCTATGAAAGTACCTATAGAAAAGAGACAAGTCCTCAACTTTCTTTCGATGTTCCAGACTATCAAGGTTGCTTGTGATGTTTGGGTTCCCAACCAAAAGGATGGCTCTTTTCTGAATAGAATCTAACAGTGCCAGGGTATGCTTAAGGGCAGAGTTCCATATAGATAGGTAGATAATTTATTGGTGTTATATACATTCATCAGTATTTACCCACGTCAGTACATACATTTTAATAAAATTAGCATATATTCATATATTCCAAAGCAGGTTTGAGTTTTATTGAGCATTAGAAAAGTTTTTGAGGTGTGTACAACTGTCTTGTGGAATGTGAAATTGCCTTCTTAGAGAAAATTGATTTGTGGGTTTTTATAGCATTAAATTGATGCACTTTCAGGAAATGAAGAAATTCATCAACTCTCCCATAATTCACAAAATTCTGGAGTTTCGGTATTTGTGAAAAAAGTTTTCTGATTCAGTTTTTAATGAAAACATATACAAGAACAAACTCTTGGCTGACTTTCATATTTTTCTTTTGATCTAGATTGTTTGCTTGTCATTTTTCATTTCCACGTTTTTTATTTTCTATTCTTAGCTTTTTTCTACTTATGAATTTGAAATCAACATGATTTATTTTTTTTGCAATTAGTATAAATTGAAATCATATATTTGATTAATTAGCTTATTGAATCATTTTCAAGCTATCCATTTAAGATATTTGAAATGTTTTTTTTTTGTTATTGGTTTGTCAGAACATTTTGATTTTCACATTTATAGAAGGAAAATGATTGATATAAATTCATTGCTGTCTATAATTAATTTTTCTCTAATTAAAAGAAAACTGGGCATCATGAAGGAGGATTTCTAACAATAGAAGATACTAAAATCAACATTAATGTCAATGTAAATACCATTTTCATCTAGCATTATAAAAAATTATTAATAACTGTAAATTATTGTAAAGTGAATTAGCGTTATGAAAACATATTTATTGAGTCATGTAAATATCTATTTTAAACGGTGCTATAATTTTAGTGCTATGAACATTCTCTAAAGTGACAGAAAGGGAATTTTATTTTAAAATGATGGCTTTGAAAGTGTTACCTGGAATAAAGATATAATAAGACCTCGCTGCCTGTTTGACTTAATAAGAAAATGGCACGTTCTGCAAAAAATTGGACAAGAAAAGATTCAGGTCAATCAAATATTTTTCCATCCAGTAGAAACTATGCAAAAAAAATGGCCGAAAATTGTCAAAACATATGCAAACATGTTTCTGATTATTCAAATTTAAGTTTACAAACAACATAAAAACTGTTGAAAATGAGTATTTTCAACAGTTATAAGATCGATTGAGACATTTTGGCCAGAACAGAGGAGATGTGGGATTTTCGAGTCATTTTCGACTGAGAGATGTCTTTCAAATCCTACATAATAGATATAACGAACAAGGCATCAAAAATAATGGATTATATGGAGTCCATATTATCGGTGTCACAAATATAATATTGAAAAGTTTCAAAACATGTTTATACTTTACTTATATTCGACAAAAATGGGATATTATGATACAGATATACTTGAAACTGAATGGCTTTAGAAAAAAATTGAAATATGGGCTAGTATGTGCAAACCTGATAAATCTATCTTCATATATTCTTCTATATCTTCTATATTTATGAAGATAAATAATGACTTTGATAATTATTCATCACAAATGAACTTCAATGTAGTTGCATATGAAACAAGGTCAATTCTCACTTTTTATGTTGAATCTGAGCTTACAAATTATTGCAGTAGTGCTTCAATGAGATCCAATTCAATTGTGGTTACTTCTAAATCAGTGGATGTTATCACTTGTTATTAAAATGGATGTTATATGCTCATATAAAAGTGGTAATTGGTTACTGATTCCTTTATTATGCTTGGTCAATTACTAAAGACATAAAACATGGTACCAACAAAAATTGATTTTTCTCAGTCGGTAGCCTCATCTTTTTTGCCAAGACAAATTTACATTCAGTCACAAATGATGTTTGCTGCTGAACCTTATTGAGTAGTTCTGTTTTCTCTTATTTGATGAATCTTGAAACCGTTCTTATTTAATTTGATAAGCGTTATTTTGAACGTTTTGTAAAAAGTAAAATTTTTTGACAGATAAAAAAGTACATACAAAAATTTTTGGAAACCATTGTATAATCCTTTCTCAGAAATGGAAGTGGCAAACAGTTTTTCCTCTTATATTATCAATCGGGTTAATTTCATTAGAAACTTGATAGTCGTGGTTTGTGTGTTGAAAACTTGCACTTAAAATTTATTGACAATTTCAAAATCAAAGAAATAAAAGAGTTCAATTAATTTTTATAATGGTTTTCCTTTTTTTGATACTTTCAAAATGAATTTCTTCATGTGCTGGAGTCATCCATTGGGTTGTTGAAGCTGTATTAAATACTTTCATTTAAACACTTTCAAAAATATAAGGAAAATTCTAATTCGTGTTCAGTAAATGAAAATATAAAAAGGTTCTTAATGTTGGCGGGGTTGTCAATTGTCATTAGTTTTGGTCGCCATGTTTTGACGTTATAGAGATAACATGTTGCTAATTTCATCGGTGAAATACTGACTTAGCATGTTCCAAAGCAATCGTAAGCAGAAAACATCACAATCAGTAATGTAAAGAGTAATGACAAATACTTATATGATCTACATGTATTTATCAAATTGGAATTCAGTCAATTACCAAAGCAGCAAAATATAGGAGAGCTAGTGCAAATTCTGGTTGATGATGCAAATATTATTCCCTAGTAGTTACAGACAAAAAATAGATATCAATCAAATAATAATCAAATTTCAAATACCTATACTAAAGTATCATCCTAGCGAGAAAAGTTTTATAAAATAGTAAATGTTTTTGAAATGCCATTATCTACTATAATCCACTGGATGAATCCACTAGAAACGAAATATTTATGAAAGTTTGTATTTCCTTTATAATATCGATCATTTCTTTATCAAAATTGTACAGCCACTAACTGAGCAAACTAAAATGTCAAATGTTTCTTATTTGTTGCAATTGAAAATCATTTGCAAATGAAGCGTAGATATGATTCAAGATCCCAGAACCCTATGTCATTTTTGCAAAAGTTAAAAACAAAAAGACATGAATTCTGTTATGGAATTGATCCGATTGTTGTCATATCAGTAATGACTGCAGTAAAATCATCGCTTGAAACCTAACACTTCAAAGTAGATTGAATTTTCGTCCATCACTCAGTATTTTACATCACTAGATTCAGTTTTTATCGATTCTTCAATTATTTCTATCTGTGGTAAAATAAAATACTCAATTTTTCTAATTCGTTCTTTTTCAGTTCGCTTTTTTCAATTTTGAGTTCAGTTCAATATTTCAGTTATGAAAAAACTATTTTATTTTACCGTAGGTACCGGTAGAAGTAAGCCATATATTGACCGAAAACATTTCTTTCAAGAACTCAAAAACCCACCAAAAAAAGCCCTCAATGATTTGGTCAGTACCGTTATACAAGAACCGCCCTTGTTCGCAACGAATTTCAACCAAAAAACACCGCCGAAGTTTACCGTCGATCCCTTCGGAGAGGACCCCTTTGTGAAAGAAGACCCGTTCGCAGACTCTGATTTCTCGAAGCAGGATCCGTTCGATACGGAGTTCAGCTCGTTTCCCGCTAACGGTCCCGACAAAAAAGACACGTTACAGAACTTCATTCAGACCGGATTGTCTAAATCTCCAAAAAGTTCTGTGCTTGAGAGTCAAATATCGCTGAGCACCTCGCCAAAGAGCATATCTTTTAGCAGACAGAGCACTTTCGACGTTCAATTCAACAAACTGTCTCACTCTCACGAAAATCCGAGCTTGGACGTGTCTTCAGAAGGGGAATGCGCTCCGGAACCGCCTCCCAGACCCACGCCTAACGTCATGTACATAAAACCGCCTCCGCTTCCGCCTAAGAAACAAACGAACGACTTAGCCGTCAAGCCGCCTCCTAGGCCACCCTACCACGCGGAGGAATCTCCTTACGAGTTCATCGACAAGTACGAGACCGCCGTTAACAGCGTGGAGTTCAAAGAGAAAGGCCCTCCGTTGCCGGTGCCCGCGCGAAAGGCGAAATTCGATTCGGAGTATCCTCCGGAGCGACCCAGGAAGCACTTCAACACTTCCCTAAGCGAGGAAGACTACTTGACGCCGATATCATTCCTGCCGCCGCCTCAGAAAAGTACAAAGAAACCGAACGCTCAGGTATTGTCTGCTTTAGAGTCGAAGTCAGGCGTGACTTCCGGCGAGGAGGGTTTGGGAACGTCCCTGGACGGTTTGGACATTACACTGAGCCAGCTGACGCTGAGTGGACTAAATGAACTGGCATGCAAGCTCAACATTCCGCCTGGCCAGCTTAGCAATATGACACTAGTGCAATTAACGAATTTCTTGTCAAACTTCATCAAATCGAGCGACCACGCTCCTCCTGCGACCTCTAAGATCGAGACCTCGACGTTCGCGGAATTTCCCCCCTTTCAAGCCGATTTCGCGGCCAATTTCGAGAACTCGAACAGCGCTACTGATCCGACCTACGACAGGTACGCAGTGTTCCGCGAGCTGATACAGGAGGAGATTAAGCAGACGAAAATAGACTCGGAACCAGAGGAGATACTCGAGGAAAAGGAGAAACTGGAGAATTCGGCGAACAGCAATGTGAGCTTAGATTTGAATCCGCTGAACGAAGCGGATCCTCCCGTCGCTGATAGGTACGCGGCGCTCAGGGAAATTGTAGAGATCGAGCTGAAGCACTCCGAGTCGGACAAGGAGGATGTAAACCGGAATCGCTCGGGTGAAATCGAGGATATTGCCGAGGAGGAGGAAGACGCCTCTGAAGCAATTATTTTGAATGACGAAGTATCTAAAGAAACGGACAATCTCAACATGATCAATAGGGAGAATACTCTTCATGTGGAAGGTAAGGAAAAGGAGTCCATTTCTCCTCTGGAAACGAACATAACCGAGTTTATGAACGGGGGCGAAATGGAGATTATAACACCCATCAAGTCTCCAGTTAAGTCGACATTGGTGAAGAGTCCCGTTCCTAGCGTTATCACGGAGATGGTTCAGAACAACACCAGATTGACGTCGGGGTCGTTATCGGACGTTGTTAGCGGTAGCTCGCCTGAGGTTGATAATACTGCTAGTAATTCTGATGTCGGTAAAAAGACCGCCGATGCTACAGGTGAGAATTTATAATTACTTTTTATTACTTGATTTTTTTCCGTATTAGTTTTTTCAGTTCAGTAATCGAGTCAACTTATAGACATTTGATGGATATCCAGTATATAGGGTGCTACATTTTAAGAAAAACCTTCATATCAATATTTCTTAAAAATCTCAGCTTTTGAACTACAAACAACGTCAAAGACAAACAGTCACCAAATAGGGTGGTTATGTCTATCAGGAATACTTTTCAGATTAACTGAATAGTGTTTTTGACCAGAACCATTATATAAAAGGACATTACGTCGAAGCTCATTAGAATGTCTCTTGTACCTAACCTCATATTTGTCTTTTTTTTTTTATAAAAAGTCTCCGGTCTTCAATAAATAACTTTGTTTTTTCCGTGTTTCTCTCAGTTTTTGGCTGGGGGTGTAAAATATTCTTATTGAATTGAGGTAGGTACTTTGATAGTTCTGGTGGCATAGACAGTTAAATTCACTTTACTACACATTTATTCTGTATGCTCAGTCCAGTTGAAAAATTCATTGATGTGAACTCCCAGAAATTTGATGCTACTAGTTATTTCCCTATCAACTTCCACGATTTAAATTTTTAAAGGGTTTTCTAGTTGCATTTTCTCAGCACGAAATAATATTGTGTGGGCCTTTGATACGTTTAGAAGTAATTTGTTACTTTCAAATAAAATTTTGGATTTCTTTGAAGTCCCAACCGATTCAGGATAACGTTATTCTCTGTTCAAAAAACATTTGCATCATCTTGGACAACTGAAGTCCAGTATTTTCTGAACATTTATACAGATTATGGAAAGTATTTGGCCCAGTATACTACCTTGTGGTATTCTCATGTTCGAAGCTGAAATCTTTGATTAATAAACAGCTTCCTGATTTTTTTATATAAATTTTTTTGGGTACATTACGACAGATAAGATTCAACCCGCCTCAACACGTTTTTTCTTATACCATACCTCTTCAGTTTTATCAGTAATAGGGTTCTGTTAAGGCAATCATAGGTTTTACACAGATCTAAGAATATGCCTTATATCAAAGATTTTTTTTGTGTACTGTATACCCATGTTGAATTTTACTAAACAGTTATGTACAATATGCTAATATAGATATTTTTGAGATACTGGGTGTAATACTTATAGGTCTGTAATTTTCCATGAGTTCAACGTACCCTTTTTTAAAATTACGTTTCTCTGTGATGTACAAATATTTATGTTTTCAGAAAGTTGGTGGCAATAGAGGATAATACTTTTTTCGAATGCAAACTGTTTTCTTTTATTAGGGATGACGGTATTTCATAATCTTCACTTGTATGTTTGTTTTTGACTTATTTTGATAAATCTGTACCAGTCTTGATGTCATTTTTTGATTAATCAGTGCCAGTCTATCTATGAGATTATTGATCTGTTCATTTCTTTGAGGCCTGAAATTGATACGACTCTTTTATTCCAGAGAGTCTGAAAATCCGGAAAGTTAAAGAATTCACCAAATTATTTTTCGTGACTACCGTGTATTATTCGATAGAGATATGAATCGTCATTATTCAGCAGATAGGTAGAATTACTCGAAAATGTTATTGTGTGATACATTGCTGTATTCAGGAAAAAAGTTTGTTGAAAAATGTGATAAAAGAATAAAAGATTTTTAAAAATGGTTCAATTTTGTGGAGTGTTCTCATATTATTTTTTTACTGACTTTCAACTGATGAGAATTGTAATTTAAAGCAAAAATACATGAATAACCTGTACATAAAATATGTAACAATGGAGTGTCGAAGTCATAGAGAAACATGAACCATTTATGTTGGGATTTTTACACTTTGACTGTTCATGCATTGAGGTTTTGTAAACTGTCTAGTGTAAATCTCAAAATAAAGTGTTACTTCAATAAGTTATAGAATTTCATCAAGTGTTGGCCAACTGCATCACATATTATTATTATTGAATTATAATCTTCGCAAATTTTACAGTTATTGTATATTTTCACACCTAATATAGGTGAATCTTGGGCGATTTTCGATCAGGGAACTATTCCCGTAGAATCAGTAACTGAAAACCAGGAAAAACAGAGCGAAGAAGGAGTATCCCCTTGGTCCAGTGATTCGAAAGAGTTTGGTAACGGGTCTCCTCCAGGATGGAGGAGTAAGGATTCGGGTAGCGGAACGGAGCAATATCCAAAGAAAAGGCGGGACCAAGAAGGTTGGTGGGATACTTCTGCAGATCCTGCAGGTAAAGTGCTGCTGAAAATATTTAGTGTTTGTCATTTCCTCCAGATGTTTTCCTCAGATATTTATCGATTGAATTCGTTTTTCAAGTTTTCTGAATAATAGTTCCTAAAAAAACTAAGAGAGCTATAGTGAGTTAGAAGACAGTGTTATCTTTTTATCAGTAAGTTAGCGAGATTCCCAGCTGGTAAAACTTGAGGTATTATCGAATTCTTCATTTACAAGGCTGGTCAACTACAACCGATATTTGAATAAAACTATTATAATTTCCCTGATCATAAGGCTGTTGTATTTTCCGTGGAAATGGTTAATGTATTTTCGCCAATATAATTCTTCATTCTGACCCGCTTCGCTCGTTTAGAAGTAGCTGTCAAGTTTTAATGCACTGCCTGACAATGATCCTCTTTCTCATGAAATGCTCTGAACTTTTTGACTAAAAAATTCGACATTTCATACCATAAAAAACTTTAAACTAGTTCCACCAGCATATATAAAGTGTTGTATGAGCATCCAACAGCAAAAAAAGTTTATTCTCATTTGATCCTAAAGGATGCTAATGTCGAATGCTGAAAGTAAATGCTCAAGAACTACAATGGAGGTGCATTGTAAGATTGTGTTAGGTGAGGAATCATGAATCTAAGCATATGAGCCAATTTTTAAACAGTAGTTGACTGTTTGGGTATTTCATGATCAATCAGAATCAAACGAAAGTTCGATATCTAATATTTCAACTACATCTACAGACCTGTTGTTAAGTACTGATCTCAATAATTTCAAGCATTCTCTGTGGTATGTTGAGCAACTCTGGCCTATGAAACCAAATATGTGAAACATGTCTCTTGTAGCGAGCTATTATAGTTCGCTTAGTTTGTCCAAGGAAATTAAGAAGTGTTAAAACTTAATCATGCCGACTGGGGGTAAAACTTTGCGAGTATAAGGAAAAGCAAAAATTTCAAAATTCTGTTTTCTGTTTTTGATCGTTAACGTTTGTGTGATATCACAATATTGAAGTTAATTCTCAAAAACTGAACCAAGTACCTGAAATTTGATATCACAGATCTCTAATATGTGTAGAGCACGTTGTACAACTTTAATAGTTTAAGAAAATTATGTCAAGCTTGCACTTTGACTCTCACGGTGTTCAATCGGGAGTCAATCTGTAATTGAAAAATATGAGTTGTTTAAGCAAAATGAACTGGTATTGACTTTAACCTGTAAATGAATTTATCTCTCCTACTTCAAAGCTCATATGAAGTTTTTTAGAGAAGTGTTGAATAACATTATTCTGTTGATTTGTTTAGGCTTCAAATTAGGAGAAATGAATTCATTTACAGAATGAAGTCAGCACCAACCCATTTTTCTCAAAAACCGATTCTTATTTTGTCATATTTTTCAACGGTTGAAACTAGATACCAAGAACAAAGCATTAGTAATTCAGCACCAGACAATGCAGTTTCCTCCTGCAATAGATCACATTAGTGGTGTTAGGCTGAGATATATGTAAGCCAGAACAATTTGTGAATATCGACAATAATTCAAACATTTCTTATCGAAGATAAGATTGCATATATAATTTCAATGTTATATCTGTTTACTGCTACTGTTTACTGCTATATAATGAAATAGTATATTGTATAACTAAATAAAGTCGTACAGAAAAGAAAACATGAGAAAGCAGTGGATCACAAATGGAATGTTGAATTTAGTCAACAACAGAATTATATAATCAACTGCAAAAACACTTAAAAAAGTAGACTATTAGAATAAGAGTATGAAACATATAAATATAAATTACTAAATTTGAAAAAATCTGTCCAGATTCAAATTCGAAATTAAAAAAAAAATTGTAAAATTCTCAGGAAATAATGGAATGTCGTCAGAAAATGTGTCATAAAACAAGATTCAATTTCTATTAACTGTGTCAAAGTCAATAATTATGTAATAACAAGAAATGTCGGATGAATTAGTAGATAATTACTGTGATTTTAGGAAAAAATTAGCTGAAGAAATAATTGCAAAAAATAAAATTAAGTATGTATGTTGTGTACAAACCAATCCAATGTGATATTATTCAAAATGTATGTAGCTTGAAAAAACAAATGAAATGGAACCTCTGACTTATGTGAATTAAAAAGCTGTTTTTCCGTAGATTTTCCAAAAGTTTCAAGGTTCAAAGCAGGATCAATTAACTCAGGGAAGAAATGATTTATCGATCTGAATTTTTTTATCAGTTATAAGGTCATATGTACTCAAGATACCAATAGTTTTTTAAAGGAATTGAAAAGGTAATTTTCAGGAAATTTCGAACAATCAGAAATCGATTAACAAAAGAGTTCATGGGGCCTTTTTTCCTCCCAAAAAGAAGATAATACTTTGAGTTTTTCCGTAATTGCCATAGTTCAGGAATTATTTCAGAAACCAAAATTTTATTGGTCTTTGAAAATGTATGGCAAAGGGATATATGAACTAAAAACTCTNTTTTTTGTAGTATGAGTATCCTAGAGATATCAACAGAGTTTCCCCAGAATATAATTCCATATTTTATCCTAGATTGAATGTAAGCATGGTATACAGAGAGGACAGCTTTGGTTGAGACATGTTCCGACAATATTCTCAATGCATTGCAATATTTTTTGATAAGTAGGCTATGTGATTTTTCCACTCCAGTCTCCTATCTATCAACAGTCCCAAAAATTTCACGTGATTGCATATGTTTATATTTTGATTATTATATTCAAAGGTATTCAACTCTGGTTTAATACTTCTAGCACATTTGTTGTCATGACCAACTAAGAGTTCTTTTCTTTCACGATGACTGATATATCGTCATTAACTACATTTGGTATTTCATTTGTGTACAGTATATATAATAATGAACCTAGGATGGATCCCTGTGGCACACTTCTTTTTATCACAATTGATTCTGATTTAATTATTTTCAATCAAATGTTGGATTCTGTTTGTCAAATAGGATGTGATTAAGTCCAAAGATGTATCAAGTTTGTTGCATAAAATTTCATGGCTGACACTGTCAAATGCTTTTGACAGGTCAATACACAAAGTTACAGTACAACCAACTTTGTTCAAATGATGTACTTCAATATCACACTAATACTCCTACTTCATTTTATTCCTTTTCCATAATTTGTAATTCATATAGAAATGTAGGCATTGCGTATTTTGTTCTTAGACATCAATCAATTTTTCCAGTCAATTCCTTTATTTGACAAATGTTCTATGGTTTGTTTATCATCCCTTCCAGATGATTCACTGTTGCTTCCTGTATATTCTCGATAGATGAAATTGTTTACACTAATTGTCAAGGATGTATTAGTAACAATATTATATTGCAACTTTTCAAAAAATTGCTAGGTTTGTTAACAATATATGTACATTACTGGAGTTTTTTCCCAACACCAAATCGTTATTTTCAACACCTCGATACGTGTTTCGATCACGATCATCTTCAAGAGGAAGTTTTATCTTCCTCTTGAAGATGATCACTTGGTGATCGAAACACGTGTCGAGTTGTTAAAAATGACGATTTGGTGTTGGGAAAAGACTCCAGTAATATTCATTACTACACCAAAGGTTCCAAACAGTACATCATAAATATGTACAATTTTCCGTAGTTCACTATTATTCTACCAATCGTCGTTCCACCGACAGTTACGACGAAGAGTATTACGAATGTTGCGAAAGGCCAAGGCGACGAAGGCAACAGGCGGGAAACTGGCAGCACGGGGGTCAAGCCACCGGTGGTCATTCTTCCAGCTCCCGAGATGTAAGCCCTTGGGAGGAAGAGCCTCGAAAACGAGAACTTAGGGAAGTCAAAGATCCAAGAACTGCATACAGGTACGCCAGAGGGCATTCTTTTGAGAGACAGCGTGATCGTAGGCTTACAGACAGCTGGGATGAGGATGATGATTATGAGTAAGTGCTGGTCTTTTCTGATCTAGATGAAATGAAAGTGTCATAAAAGTACATATAAATTTTTGCTGCAACTATAATGTCCTGAATTATTCTCTTTGAGAAAATATATTAATAGAGGCACCACTCCTGCCTCACTTATCCAGAATCACTGGTCCAACTGCTGCAATTGACTAGTTCCCTTTCAATAACTTTACAAATTCTGATATTATTACTACCCGAAAGAAATATTAAATCTTCCTTATAATCAGCCAGGCTGGTAGGCCATGGTCAAATGAAACTTAGACGTTTCGTCTGCTACTGACAGACATCATCAGTGATATGTGTGTTGAATGTGATGAAAAAGGTTATATCTCGAAGTCTCTGCAATGACTGACTGGCGAGCTCCTGGTTCACTCCAATATATAATTTCATAGGATGCTTAGCGATGACTGACTGGCGAGCTCCCTGTTCACTCCTATGTATAATTTTAGAGGGTGGTTTTTTATATGTTAAATTCGAAAAGTCACAGTTAGCGCATTTTTCTTAAGTAACTATACAGTTTTAATCTTCATGATGGTCTCCACATCGACGACAAATGAGTTTATTTCTGTAATTTTTTAAAGAGTGTTAAATCGATAATATTTTGAATTTCCTGAGTTATTACAGTTTTTCATTGGTTTTGCTGTTGTAGATATGAAGAAGAACATTCAAGAATTCAATGGTCTAATCGACATAGAGACCCTGAAATGGAAGGCAGACATAGTACCGGCAGCCGAGAGCATGAAAATGATCGGTGGTGCGATGAAAGAAGTGAAGACAGAAGGCACAGGAGGAGACGAGACGTGAGAGATCGGTGGTGCTGTTCCGATTGGGTGGAAACAGAACATGGTAAATATAACGTTTACGAGTTATCCCGTTTGGACGAAATGATAGTTTTTTCTTTTAGAAAAACCACCTAGATATGGCAGTAGCCGATGGACGTCATCCGAGCCTGAGCATCTGAAATGGCGCGAACGTAAAAACGACGAGCGATATTATAGCAGGGAATCTCAAGAATCTCCGTGGGAAGATGAATACACAAACGAACCTGACAATTCTCCCCATTATATGTCAAAGAGAAATTGGAAACGGCCAAGTAGCGCTTCTGAAATGGACAGAAAAACAGGAGAAATCAAATCGAGGCATCATCTAGGGACAGGTAATTGAATGTGTTTTTTCTATACAATGAATAGGAAACGACAGATTAATTTTTTTTTTTGAATAATATGAATTTCAAATGTCGCCTCTAATGACCTGTGTGATATCTGAAAATAAAATTTTAATAGAAATGGTGACAGGTGTGTACATTAGCAGGAATCTATCCACTCTATTTGTTATAATCATTTCCTAAGGGATTAAATTCGGGTACTGTTTATGTTCATCCTTTTATCTTTTCTCCCTTCAGATATAGTAAAGAAAAAAATGTTTTGTATGAAAAAAGATTGGCGGTGATACTTTTGCTGTTCAACTTATTGATGAATGTATCACATTTCAGGTGGCAGTGATGGCGAGAGAGGTGACAGGCGGTACAAACCTGGAAGAAGATCTCGAAGTAGAGACTCGCAATACTCTGAACCCTCGCAATACCGACACAAAATGGAGTTAGGTCCGTCAATGAGAACCGTTCACAGAAACAAACCCCACGTTCATTCCAAAATGTTAGAGGGGGAATTCCCCGAGAGCTCGATCAAGAAATCTTCAGAAGTAAAACTCGATGGAGGAAAGAAAACGTCGACTCTGACGCGAAAAAAGACAAAAGATAGTCCCAAAACCGAAGAAAATGTGGCAGGTACAGTCCCTAGAAAGTCTAACAGCCGAGGAAAGCTGATTTTTGAGAACGATTTTGTGGCAGATGATGGCCATGTGATCACTCCCAGAACAAAGTTCAACTTTGATAATGATTTCGAGAATTCGGAGACAGAATCGCCCATTATATCTCGACCAATCAAGACTTTGAGACAACAAACTATGTTCGAAAAAAGCTCCCCTCCAGTGGAGAAGGATTTTAAAGATCGACAGAGGGGCAGTTCATTGAGGGCGTCGAAATTGTCTCCTCGGTATCCAACTAAAACCAAGTCACATTTCGAAGACGACTTTTCTCCTAGTGATAAACCTGAACAGCCGGAAAAAAGAAGATAATACTTTATTGAGTTTTTCCGTAATTGCCATAGTTCAGAAATTATTTCAGGAACCAAAATTTTATTGGTCGTTGAAAATGTATGGCAAAGGGATATATGAACTAAAAACTGTAAAAATCGATAAAACTCGTGGAACTTTTTTTTGTTTCTATTGAGAAGGTTAACAAAATAACTTGTTATAGTTTTTTTGTAATGAGTATAGTTCAGAAAATATTTGTTAGAAATTAGGGAAAATCACGTTTTTCTCAAAATCTCCAAAACTATCGAAAAAAGTTATACTACCGATTTTGAAGAAATATTCATCATTTGAAAAAGACATTTTTACCGAAATGCTATACGGAGGGAGATAATTCCATTTTTGCAATTTTTTTCTCCGATTTTTTCGACATTTTCGACTTCTAACAGTTATAGGTAGGCCATTTTCTGGGACATTAACTTGACTTTTGCTCCATATGAAATATATTTGATCATAGCTTTATTTCATATTTGTTTCAACTTAGCTATCTCCAGCCATTTCTGAGTTTTTGGCGGAAATAATCTTTATGGTACGACCATCAGGAATAGTACATCGGGGTACTCATAGTGAACCCTAAGTTTTTTTGGATCTACTATCTTATGAAGAAAAAAGGACATTGCTAGAAATTTTCACCAGATATGCAAAAGTCTGGGACTGTTGAATATTTGGATTCCTAGTTAATAAAACCAATTTCAAATAATTTCAGTAGAAGATCTGAAATAGAAGTGATCTTTACCATCTGTATTGGGTGGGCTATTTTTGCCTGGCGTAACTATTGGGTTAGCAAGTATAAACAGATAAATTCTGATAATTGACGCCATCTGTTTCATTATTATATCTTATATCAAAATAAGCGCTATTTCTTAATGCACACGATGATATAGAATTGTCTACAAAAAATTCAGTCTGAAGGTTGACGAGCTTTAAAAGTCGAAATTTAAATATTTGTAAAGATGTGTGGTACAATGCAGTTGCAATGTATCGCACAAAAGTAGCATCAGCATATTATATTGTTTTTTTGTGGAGATACACACGATTTTCCTATATCACTCATAAATATTATAAAGAGTAGAGTTGGTTGTGATTTTACTGAATATATTATTACTATTTGTGACCTTTTATTCAAATGTGAGGCTACCCATTCATTGGTTACACCTCGTATACCCATTCTGTACAATTTCCCAAGTAATAAACCGTTATCAACTGTATCGAATGCCCGGCAAAAATGAAAGAATAGAACAATTGGAAATTTCTTATTATTCAAATTTTCGTAGATGTTACATATAATGCTGACGGCACTTGCTGTCTACTTCTGGAGAAGGCGTTTTTGCATTTTTTTTAAATAATTTTTCGAATCTCCATGTCTAAAGTTGAATATATAAAAATAAACTGCAGGACGAAAAGGGGGACATTTAATAATATAAAACTATTTTATATTATTAATAATAGNTCGTTAACCTTGAATTATTTCCTTCAAAATAAAAATAAATTAGCTACGCTCGAGAATGTCGAAATGCCGTTATTTTTTTACAACTTTGCAGGCCTCCCCTTTCTTTACGTCACTCTCAAATTGTCAGATTACTGGAATATATACTTTTCAGCATGTAATTAACTCACCCTAACTTAATCTGATGCGCTCGAGAATTTCTGATAGTCCATTTTTTTTTTCTAATCTGATCCTTTATCCTTCCTGGGCGGCCTTATATATGGGGCTCATATTTGGTGGAAGTACTTAACCTGGTACAAGGTATCCCCCTGTATATTAATCTGCCGCGCTTTAGTAAATCCCGAAATACCCGCTTGTGCTCCCCTATTAAAACTGATAGGTTCTTTGGATCGTATTTCACTTAACGATAGTTACTGTGTACTCAAACTTTGAATCGAAATGTGAAAAATGGAATTAAAATTAAAATTTTGATATTTGTCCTTAACTAGCTAATCGTACAACGCAAAATGCTTCTTTATCTTTTGGCAACTCTTTCTAATGAAAAAATTCAATTCTGACATCTTTTTCAATATTCCAAATATTCTTTTGTAGTTTGAAAATATCATAAATGACCGAAATTCAAATAAATTAATTTTAATAACACAATAAATCAAAATAGCAAAGGTAGCCATAATATAAAGTGCTCCCCCTTTTCAAGTAAATTACGGTCTATTCCGTGGGTTTGCTTTTTGAAATTTGGAACTGAGGCCAATGAATAGAAGGAAGTAAAATAAGAAGATGTTATCTGGATTGCAGTACAAATATTGAAATAAGGAATGAAAATTTAATTAATGTTTCAGAAATTAAATAAATATTTGGGCATGAACCTTACATCAAATTCATCATGGAAAAAACACGGCAATGAGATAGTAAATAAAACTAGTAAGGATTTAAATGTTTTTGCAGAACCTGGTGGGGGGCAGCCCCCAAACTATTAAAAATGGTATATAACGAGCTGGTCAAATCCCAATTCGATTGTGGGTGTACATATTTATTGTACACAACTCACAAAAAATATTAAAAAAATTAGTAATATACTATCAAGGTATGAGGATTATAACAGGAAGGTATGAGGATTATAACAGAATGCATGAAGTCAACTACAATTAATGCCTTCATGGCAGAAAAAGGGGAGATAAATTTAGAATATAGATGAAAATGGCTAGCATGTAAGTTTATAATTAATAAAATAGATCGGTATCCCCGAAAAAATAAAAAGTGCCATATTTAATTGAAGCATATAGTAAAGTAAAAAAAATTGAAAAGTATATTCACAAATGCAAAATAATACCATGTTTTAATTTTGACCTTGAAGTATATTTGGGTAATAGAGTTAATAGCAATACAGAAAGGAATTATGTTATGTATAGAAAAGCTAAGAGTGCCTTAAAAAAACTGATACAAAGTAAAGTTTCTGCAAAGATGAACTATATCCCCCTAAGTATTAAAAAATGTTATTAAAGAGAGAGAGAGACAATATAAATTTCAAAATATATAAATTATCAACGATTTCTAAGCGTACAATATTGTGTAAAACAAGACTATTTAATCCCTGGACAAAGTGTGTGTTACAGTCAACACTGTAAGAGTACTGGTCATAATAGTGCCAAACCTTGAGGCTGGAACCTAAACTAAAAGAAGAAGAATAATCATCTGTGGATACAGTCCATCGACAGTCTATCAGAGGTTAGAAAATTATCTTAACCTTATATTTCTTTATAATATGTAATATAATAATGAAGTTGGAAGAGAAACGTATATTTATTAATGATTTACCAGAAACGGCTACTCAAGAAGACATTAAAAATGCATTTGAAAATTATGGCAAAGTCGTGTCAATTGAAATCAAGGAGCGAAAGGAATTGGGACGCAAGAATTTGTCTTTATTTTTTGCCTATGTTAATATTCAAATAGATGACAGGAAATTACAACAATGTGAGTATTTCAATAGATTATCGTGTTGAATTTTGGAAAATAGGGTGTTCACTTCCTATTTCCCCATCATTATATGGAAAATCAGCCATGTGAATTTTCTTTAATAAATGAATAAGGAATATTTTTCACCCCCGTTTGAGCCATAAATTTAGGCTAATCTTGTACTTAGTTCCAGAAGTTGAAATTCATTCTAACGGAGTTGTCGTGGGTTCTGCTAAGCTTACGTTAAGATAGCAGAAACTAATTACAGAAAAAATATTTTGTTGAACCAGACTACGTCATAATTGAAGGCTCCTGTTGCTCCATTGCCGATTTTATGTGTTGTTTCATTAAACAAATCTGGGTTCTGCTAGTTTTAGCTACCGTTAGGCTGGCAGACCCAAATCAAAATCCTTCACTTTATGGAAAATTTAAAGTTGCAATGTTTCCAACTACCACGTATGCTGAGGTAGGCACACAAAACTCAATTCAATCGAGTAGCAAAAAGTTGTTCAATAGCGTAATGAAAGAGCCTAAAATGAACATAAAATTATTGCTAGATCACAATTCCAAAAAAAAAGACGGCTTTCCATTTGGTTCTGCCAACTTAACAGTAAAATTAGCAGAACTCACTGATTAAAAAACGAACAACGCATATAAAGTTGGCAATTGGGGGACACAGTAGACTAAAATTAATCTAAAATTATTACAACTTTAAAAATTCCAGAAAGTTGGGGATTTCCATTGGTTCTTTCAGCTCAATGGTAAAGCTAGCAGAACCCACTGATTAAAAAAACACATAGAATGTGTGATAGGGAGTTTTAGATAGACTAAAATTAAATATATGTTCAAAATGGTTCTGGTAGGAGAGAATGTAGAGTTTTTATCAATGTAGTTTTTATCAATGTAAATTATTATCTGTCTATTTTCAAGTAGTTTCTCATTCTCTGTTTGATGGTAGAGAAGTGGGAGGCCAAAAGTTTTTTCCAAAAACTTATTTCTCCTGAACAATATTTATTTTTCAATTAGTATATTGTATATTAATAAATAGAAATGACAGGTTTTCAGGATTTCTCAAATGGTCAGTGGCTGGGTGAATACATTCCTTTACAAATTGCTAGAGAGAGTTTTCTAGAACGATTAAGGAAGGAACGGGAAAATAATGTCTACTCCAACAAAAATGAAAATAATGCCGATAATGTTGTACAGAAACAGGTTCCACCAACTGTTATTGCTATTGATGTGGTGAGACTGAAAAGGCAACGTGAATCACCTTCAGAGAGCGGTTCATCCGATTCTAGTGACTCAGAAAGAATTAAAGTCAAACCACTTAAAATTAAAAAATGTGTCGATGATGAAAACATCAGTCCTTTGAAGCCCTCTCTTGATGTAGAAGAAAATAAACTACCTGATTTCATTATAAAAAGCAATAAAGGCAAAATTTTTGACAAAACCGGCCTTAAAATACCTTCCGTTGGTAAAGAACCAATAGTTAAAATTGATTTGTCGAAGAAGAAGGTGAGTTCTTCTGAAGACAATCTTAAGAGATTGGAATCTCTGAAGTCTCTTAAGAAAGGCTATCAAAATCAAAAACTTATGATTAGAACTGCACTGGCAAATGTTGATCATACATTTAGTAAGAAAATTATTTATGATGATAGCATTAGGCATTCTCCAAAACAAGCCAAATCAAATCAAGAGAATTCAAAAAAATCGCTCTTTGAAGAAAATGATTCAGAGGATGAGTTTGAAACCAATTTTTCAATTAAAGAACAATTCCAGGGCAAAAAAGGACAAAAGGTAAGAAACTGTTTTTAAATATTTCCATAGGTTTACGTATACTTATATTCCAGCAGACAAAAACATTTCATGTGTTAAAATGAATGACTCAGGTAGACCTAAAAATAATTATATCAAAAAATGAGTATATTTGCCTAATGCAATTCATTTGTATCCAGATATTAATGAGGCATATAGTGAATTCATAAACACTTTCAATTCTTTTTACTTCATGAAAAATTACAAAGTTTTAAAAACCAAAACCTTGGTTTGATAATCAATTAACACAATTAATTAAAGAACGTGATAAATATTTTTTTAAGAAAAAACTTTTCCTAATTCCCAGGTATTTGTTCTAACAAATACCTGCACTAGGGCGTTTTAACCGTGTAAAAGAACAAACAAGAAGATAAAATGTTCAGTTTGCATACGCGCCTTAAGGACCCTTCGATAAGGAATTACCTAATCTTAGCCCTACGTCATCTTAAATTCAATTTGAAATATCAAAGCAATACAGTAGACACATATTATGTAATTAATTTCATTTTGATTTTCAGTTGTTGGAACTTCAATCGAGGTATAAAAATGATAAAAGGTTCAACTTGGATTCAAGATTTCTTGAACCAGATGATACAGAGATGAAGGAAGTTCATGAGGAGGATGAGGATATTTCACTCGTAGAAGAGAAGAATAAGGAATATGAAATACTTGAAAAAGTTTTAGGGAAAAGGGTACAAAAAATGCAGAATCAAACTGAGAGGTATATTTATTAGCATTTATTATTTTCACTGCATTGTAATAGTCATTAAAAAAATATTATCTATTGAGCATTTTGGCATTTTATAATTTTTGCTGTTTCAGCCAGCAAAAAAAAATGTTACGGTTTGATCCCTCTCAACCAGAACATTCAAAATATGAAATCCCTAAAGGAGAAAAAATGAAGAAAAAAAATAGAAAATATGATGATGATTTGCTTGAAGAAAAGAAGGTAGAAGAAAAAGAAGCGCCTGAAGTTTCAAAAGAAATATTTTACAAAGTCCCTGATAACTTCAAAGAGACTTTGCAGACAAACAATGAGTTCAGTTTTATGAGCATGTTTGGAAAACCTCAGGAGATTGGTATGTGTGAATTCAGACTTGATACTCAACCATTTTGAATGTTACAGGTTCAAACTTCAATTGTCTAAAAAGCTATTTGCAGATTTGAAATATCAAAATTACTGAAAATATTAAAAATTAACCGTTCGAATTATTCAGATGAATATGAAATGCAAAATATGTGAAAACAATTATCACTCGTAGACAAATTTTTCCTTCATTTTCATTGGTTTCATGTTGGTAATTGGCATTTCACTAATTATTTCACCCATTAATCAATTAATCTTCGTTTCATTTCACAATTATTGTTGTCTATTTACTTACATACATATTTCAGATTCCATATTTATTGATTCGCTCATTTTTATCTCTGTTTTAACTAACTACTAACAACTTTCTAGAGAAAGGAAGTCTGAACCTATAACTTTTACCAAGAAACATTGTCAACCACATTCTGAATCCTTACGAATTCATAAATATTTTTCAATTTAGAGGAACAAGAAGAAGAGCAAGGAAAGGAGCAACCTGTAAAAACAAAAAAATTACCTAACAATGAACTAGTCAAAGAGAAAAATCCATTTCGTTATGATTCTTCTGATGATGAAGATGAAAAAGAAGATATTTCCACTCCAAATGACACGAACCAGCAAGATATAACATCAGCGAACCACCAAACAGTAGACACAAGGAGAAATTTTATGTGGAAACCTGGAATATTTTGATTATTTATCTTTTCTAGATGGATTTGACTTCATAGAAAAAATGAAATCAGAAGAAAAAACTGAATTCACGAAATTAAGAAGAAACTTGAAAGAAATTGTGAAGGCAAAAGTTAAAAATAATCAAAGAAAGAATAAACTGTTCAAAAAGAAATTGGGAGGCAGTAGAAAGAAGAAGGTTATCAAGTTGAAGAAAGCAATGAAGAGATAGCAGTTTTTTTATTATGTAGCTGTTTCTAGTAAAAAGTACATAGTTTTTCATTTCATAATTTGTTGTAGAATAAACGTCTTGGGTCTCATCAAAATTCTTAAATTCAAAGCCACTGTGTTTTTCATATTTGTTAAGGTGTTTTTTTTTGGATTTCAGAAATTTGTTTTTACAGCACATTTCTATCTTTTTCTTTTCTGTTATTGTAACAATTAGAGTCAACTGTTGATTCTTCAATGTCAATCCAATTTTCTTCATAATAAGCTTTCCAATTTTCCAACTAAGTTTCTAGTGATTCTAACATATCTTCATTGCAACAATCTAGAAAAAGGAATGAAAAGTGTTCTTTCGCTGATTCCATACAAAAACACTCTTCCAAAATAGTAGCCATGTCAAATTTCCATTTCCAACTTCTAATTTCAAAGAATCTAATACACCAATAGAATTGTCGGTATTTTTTTAATCTGAATTCCTGTATGTAATGATGCTCAATAATGCTCAACATTTGTTCACAATTTGGAAAATTTCCCTTCAACATTCTCCAACATACTTTTGTGGAAAATTTCTAAATCTTCAGTATTTTCATCTGTTGTCATAAATTTAAGTTCATCATGAATATGACATTTTTCTCAAATTCTGGCTTCTCTTACCAACGACTTGAATACTGGCTACTGCTTGGACTTATTTAATACTGTATTGTCACATACAGCTTGTCAAATCTAGGAAGAGACTAGAGAATAATCTCGCTCTCATAGTCTTCTAACGAACACACATCTAGTGGGCGGGACCATAATGGAATTCAGAAAGCTTTTCCTACATCTGACAAGCTGTACATATATTATTTATTTAGCATAATACTGCTTCTATTTTTCTAAATTTTATCATATTTTTATAACCGGGCAAATACAGCTGTAATCTATGAAATAAAGAATATTGAAATCAGGACAAAACCAAATATGGCCGGGTGGTCTTGTATTTTTCATTCCTATTGTGGCAGTCAACGTGTTGAATATATTTTAAAAATCTACCTTTTTTCATTATCGAATATTGTTATAGGGATATTTTTAAAATGAAGTTTATTCATTATCGAGAATGAATGAATGATTTTCAATCCCTTTGTAAACCAGGGTTTCTTAGGGATCAATTTTATATTTTGTCATTATGAAATGACGAGAATGGATCAGCTTCAGGCAAAGTACGCTGTCAATCGGTCACATGACAATTCATATAGAACATAGCCAATGTGCAGTTTCCCGTATTTAGATTTCACTTGCTTTCCAGATAACTCTATGAATATAGAACAAATTATAGCTCCTTGGTCAAATAATGCAGATGATATAACTACATGAAACATTTTGTACGTCAAAATTTCTACAAATATAACTCGAGTTGAAGATTATCAAGAAACGAATGATTGAATTCCTCAATTGAAAGGGTATATGTTTAGGAGAGATCAATTTTTGGCTTTCTTGATACAAAAAAATGTAGAAATCTTCCAAAGAAAGGAAGAAAGCAATAAACTTCAATACAGCTATTTTAATTTAAACATCGAATTACATGAAAGAAAAATACTTTTATATGAAAGCTGAATTATATGAAAAACACTTTTCTCTATTCTGTTTGTATTCCAAATATTCGTAATGGAATCGAATCAGATATCATTCACAGAATTCCTACACAATATAATAAATAAAAGAAGTAAAATTTCACTTACGTGGAACATGGTCATCCTCACTGGTAGACAGTCAATGTTTTCTTTACTGTCTTATTGGCTCTTCTGTTCCAAATACGGATAACATAAGAAAAACACTCAATTCGTTTATAAAATTAAGGCTTTTTATCACGGAATGAGTTGAATTCACCCATATCATCGATGACAGCACAAAATTGAGTTTGCACAGTATCTAAGTAGCAAAAAATTCGATTTTCAAGCTAAAAAAGCTACTCATAAAACTTTTTCATTCTTGTACTAACTTAATTGGGAAATGAATGCTGGTGATGTGGCCTCAGTAATTTTCGATCTTTCTGAAGTGTTTGATTGCAATAATCATGATATTCCTGCTTATAAAACAGCCCCAAAATGGCTTAAATCTACCAGGACGCGATTGAATGGTCAAAATAAGAGATATCTAAGAGAGATTGAATATGGTGTGTCACAGGAATCCGTAAATTATAAAAAGTTGTGGATCGAGAACTAAACCTTGTAAACAATGGCGACTGCATATTATATTCAGAGATATCACCATAAGAAACTTGTTGGTAGCGCTGTTTCAGATAATAATCAATAAGTGATATTCCAGTTTTTCTGAAGCCATATTAATATCTTTTCAAGAAGAATGTTGTTATACAATCATGGACCTTGCCATTTGGCGAAAGTTGTCAATATCAAAAAGATTTCCTTTTTTGTGTGTGGGTGCATTCAAACTATGGTTATTTTTCATAGATTTGACAGTATCAAGAACGTACACCTTGAGCTTAAAATGAAACAAGTATAATTTTCAATCTTAATTTATTATCCAATACTTACAAAAAGAATTACATAAAACTTGTTTCACAAGAACACCTACTCTACTTGGAACGTCTTAGTCATGGTCTTGGTGTTGAACAAGTCCATAGTGATGGCGCTGAGAAAAACCGGAATCGACTTTTGATGCCTGAGATGGAGATTGATCATGCTTTCCAAAGTGGCACTGAATTCGTTCTCTAATAAATTCAAATCGCCGTCCTTGTTGACCTGGAAGCACAATTGATCGTCCGGTTGTTCAGCGTACATGCTCCTCAGCTTGTACAGCGAGTTCTGAGTGCGGTCGATTTTATAACCGAGCAACATGTAAATGACGTTCCGAAACTCCTGCATTTGTGACTTGAAGTAATCTTTCAGCATCTGTGTTTGAGTTTCGTGGGTCTTTATTTCTTCTTTGAGTGTTTGGACTTCCTTGGCAGTAAGAGTAATGTCTCCAAGTTTGCTGCTCTCTATACCTTCTTCCATGTTTTTGACTTTTCGCTTGAGTCTCTCCACTTCTTGTTCTATCTTCTCAATATACTGCTCTCTTTGAGCCAGTGCTTGGGAAAGAGGGTTCTTATCTGCTAAATGTACGACGACGCCGCCTTGCATGGTATCTTCTCCCACTAGGTAGGATTCCAGTTGGATTTCTAACCTATCATTCCTTTCACGTAGCTTGTCATTTTCATTCTTCAGACGCTGTATGTCATCTTGTAGCCTGGATATTTGCTCTGCCTTGATAGGAACCACGTCTGTAAAAAAATATAAATGAGGTATGGTAATAAAAAAAAATTTAAAGCAAAATATAGGGTGTCAATTTGAAAACTTCTCACAATTACTACCTTCTTTCCAGTAAATATGAGGAATCGAAAAAAAAAAGGTCAATTTTATTGTCATGGGGGCACTTTCAAGGACTATTTGTAGCCCTCGTGGTTCAACCTCTTAGGAGGGATAGATGTTACCCTTAGAATTTTAAATGCGAAGGGGGGCCAAGTGGCACAGCATTTTGATTGGTGTTCAATTCTGCCCATAGTACCCTGACATATTATTTCATGAGCATTTTACGAAAAATAGCGTTCTAAACTAACAGACGTAATTATTAGAACACTTATACTGAGATGCATGGTTTGACCAGAGCTGGTAAGAATAGTAGGTGGTACCATTCCAACCCCCTATTAAGGGTAACATTAGCCATTTTAACTCCAATTAATTTACATCAAAAAGTAGTCTAATAGTAAAACGTAGATGGTAGTAAAGTTGTGTTTAGTTAATATTGAAATTTTAATTCTCATCGCAGAAAGTGTACAGATAGCCGTCCTTCTTTGCTACTTCTGTAAAAAGTTTCAGTCAAAAAATTGGTTCGCAAATTAGAACGATATGGTAGTATTGTGCATACACTTGTACCTGTTGGGCTGTTGTACCTTCAAGACAGATTCGAAATGATTGTAATTTATAGAGAAGTTGGAAAGTGCGCACGAAGGGCGGCATGTCTCTTTAACGAAAAAAATCCAGATTGTAATGTAAGTCAGCGGTATGTGCTTGATTCAGTTTTATGAAACTGGTTCAACTCAAATTGAAGTTTTGGGAACATTTGCTGCAGAGCCCACGAACTCCTTACGATCAGTATTAGAACAGATAGGAATGTCAACAGGCGTCCTTCTATCGTATGTCACCCATATTTAGAATAATGCAATCGAGAAACATGGAGAATCAAGGGCTATTGCTCTAGATATTTCTAAGGCCTTTGACCGTGTATGGCATGAGGGTTTAATAGCCAAACTTCGAAGCTATGGCTTGTCAGATCATTTTTGGCATATGGCTCTTCAGCTTCCTGAAAGAATATTCCCTGCAAATGGCAGTCGACGAATATATCTCGAATATTTCACCGTCAATGTCGATGTTCCCCAAGGATCTATATTGACTTCAACCCCCTTTCTATTATTTATCATCAACTTATTGAAAAAAAACAAGAATCCAAAATATTGCTTTGCTGACGATAGCACACTTGTTTTGTCATTCCATTTGTATTCCAGGACATTGGCGGGGGATGCACATCTTCACCGGCAGTGGGAGGTTGCATATCTTAATGAGGATCTAGAAGTAATTTCGAATTGGGGTGAAAGTAACTAGGTTCAATTCAATGCCACAAAAAACTCAGACATCGGTTTTCTCCAAAAAGATAAATGTCTCTGAACAGGATATAATAATGTCATGTCAGACAATTCCACTTTCTGCTTTGATAAGTTTGTTGGGGGTTAAACTGGACACCAATATGTCATGGCACAATCATGTTGCTGGAATGGCAAAAGCCGCATTTCAAAAACTTAGAACACTGTTCCGAACCAAGAAACTGTACACATCTCAGCAACTTTTAATGCTTTATAAAGCTCAGATCGGACCTTCTTTGGAGTAATGTTCTCATGTATGGAGCTCCGCCCCTAAGCATACCCTGAAGCCGCTGAATTTCATCCAGAAATGAACCAACCGCCTGATTCGAGCTGCAAACAATCACTTGCAACCTCGATAGACTGGAACATCAAAGAAAGGTTGGAGATTTGCCTCTCTTCTATAGATACTTTCACGGGAAGTGTTCAAGTGACTAGGCATATTTGAACGTATATCAAGTTGACGAGACACTTTTCGAAATTTGCAAAACGAATGATTTCATAATTTGCCGCTATTTATTCGGTAATTAGTTGCGGAAGAAAATATTTTTTCGCCCTTTTTAAAAAAAAACACTTGTTGTCTCGCTAACTTGATATCAAGTTAGCGATACGACTTGTTTATTATTAAGTTTTCCAGAACTTTGACTAGACCATTGGTTTAGTATATTTATTCGCTAATTAGTTGCGGAGAAAAATATTTTTTCGCCCCTTTTATTTAAAAAATACATGGTGTCTCGCTAACGTTCTAGTTATTAGCGAATTACTTGCGAAGGAAAATATTATAATTTCCCGTCGTTTAAACAAATACATGGTGTCTTGCTAATTTGTCACCCCTGTTAAGCTAGCAGAACCACTTTGGAATTTTACATTTATTTTCAGGCCATAATTTAAGGCTTTTTGTATTCTATTGCCGAATTTTTTGCTCTTCGTTTAACACAGATATCATGGGTCCTGCTAGCTTAACGTTAAGCTAGCAAAACCCACCCTTATAAAAAAACATTTGGCAAATCGGATTCCATCATAATTTCAGGCTCATTTTAGGCACATCCTTTCCCTTATCGCCGATTATCCAGGTGTTCTATTTTTTGAAAAAATGTTGGGTTCTGCTGGCTTAACCGTGCTAGCAGAACCAAATCTAAATCCTTCATTTTTTAGAAATTTTGAATATGCAATAATTTTAGGCTCATTTAAGCCCTTATCGCCGATTATTCAGGTGTTCTATTTTTTGAAAAAATGTTGGGTTCTGCTGGCTTAACCGCGCTAGCAGAACCAAATCTAAATCCTTCACTTTTTAGAAATTTTGAATATGCAATAATTTTAGGCTCATTTAAGGCTCCTTCATTAACACATTGAAACATTGTTGAAAATCTGAAAATGAAATGTTCATCCAGAAATACTAAGACTTGAATTCGGCTTTAAATTGATTCATTAAGTAATTGATTTGTTTTTCGAAGGTTCTGCTACGAAATATTAAATCAGCCTGATTTAACATATACAAAAATCAATTATTTTTCTACCGTGATCCCAAACATTAACTGATCAATTTTAATAGATCAAGCAATATATTAGAAAGCTGCTTCGGCACTTCGGGGTCGTCCATTAATCAAGTGATATTTTTAGTAACATTTTAACCCCCCTCTTTCCCCTCTGGTGATGCTTGGTGATGTTGTGAACTACCCTCCCTCTAGTCAAAATCACATGTATTTTTTTGATAAAAATATTCAAAATATCTTCAAGTGCATAAAACAAAGAATATATTCAATATTGTAGAATAGAGTAGAGTATTTTATTTGACCATTTTACATACAATAGTACATTTATGGCAAGTGACAAGTACATTGTTCTCAGGCCACGAAGTATCGAGCCTTTCTTCAAAACTAATAAGTGGCTAATGCAGTATAGGGTATACCTCATAAGGCAATTTAACAAAATTGCCTTATGACCTATACAGATTCTCTGTATAGAGCTGAGGTTGTTGGTTTGTTCCGGAATGAGAGTTTGTGGTATCCTAATCTGACTGACAATTAAACTAATGTCAAAATTGCAGAAAACTCAAATGTTTGTTCAAAATAAGAAAAAGGAAATATTTTGGTTGAAGTTCTCAAAAATTCAATTATAAAAAGTTGATGTCAAGTTAGCAAGACTATGAATGTTTATAAAACAAAATGTAAATCAAATATTTTCCTCCACAACTAATTAGCGAATAAATATATCAAACAACTGTTATAGTCAAAGTTCTGGAAAACTTAATAATAAAAAAGTCGTATCGCCTACTTGACGTCAAGTTAGCGAGACACCATGTTTTCGAAAAAAATATTTTTCTCCACAACTAATTAGCGACTAAATATAACAAGCCAATGGTCTGGTCAAAGTTCTGGAAAACTTTATAATAAAAAAGTGGAATTGCTAACATGATATCAAGTTAGCGAGACAACATGTATTTTTTAAAAAAGGGGCGAAAAAATATTTTCCTCCGCAACTAATTAGCGAATAAATAGCTGCAAATTGTGAAATCATTCGTTTTGCAAATTTCGAAAAGTGTCTCGTCAATTTGATATACATCATATTTGATTCCATCAAGAGCGGTACATATCAGTAAAACGCGACGGACTGTGGCTGCTCATCATTTTGAGGTTCAACTCAGTACACCTCGAACTTCACTGTTCAAAAACTCTTCAATTTGGAGAAGTGCGTTTATGTGGAATAAACTTTCTGAGAACGTTTTTCCAAATGGATTTACTCCAGCGATTCAAATCCAATGTGCAGATACATACAATGCAGATTCTTCAAAAGCTCCCTCCACGAGAATGATTATAATAGAAGAATGGAGTTTTGTGAAATCATCTCTCATCGAGTTAATACCATTCCTAATCATCTGTTAAACATCTGTTTCAGCGATGAGTCAGTCTTCTTTTTTTCTGAATGGCAAGTTTAATGGACAAAATTGTCGCTATTGGAGTGACGAAACCCCACATATTTTTCGGGAAGGGCATACACAACACCCACAAAAAGTTAATGTATTCTTGGAAATGCCATTATTGGTCCATTGTTTCTGTAAGAAAACTTGACTGGCAATCTGTACCTTCCAGCAGGACGGTGCTTAACCTCATTATTTTATTTCTGTCCGACAATGGTTTAACGAGATATTTTAGTTGTTTATAAAACACAACCTTCTGATACTGAAGAACTTGAAAGACGAATTGCAGCAGCATGCCAGACAATTCCTTAGTGAAGTTTTCCTTAATGTCAGAGGGGAGTTCGAAAACAGACTTTATTACTGTTTAGAGCAAAATGGACGATATTTCGAACAGTTTATAAGATAAACGTAAGTAGATTTTATTTGAAATGTTTTTCTCGCAAATGAAATTTTATTTTGTAAAAAGACAATAACCAACACGTGAAATACATTTATTCCTGTCATTCGAGGGTTGCAACGGTGCCACCCACTCTTCTAACCAATTTTACTAAAATCAATACAATAATGCATCTCAGAACAGGCAAATTCTAATTACATGTGTAAGTTTCATATTTCAAAATCAAAATATACTATGTTTCAATATTTGCATCTTATTAACAAATTCGAAAATAACATAAATGTAGGGATAAAATTTAGTTAAACTAAAAAGAACCTTTTTCACAATATGGAAAAAATACTTACTCTTAAGTTGTCTAGCAAGTTTATCAAATTTCAGCCTATCGTCACCAAGAAATTTTATATGTATTTTGTAATATATCATAGAGTATTGAAAGGTCATCGAGCAAACATTTGAACAATACTATATATAATACTATATATGATACTATAATTGTTTCCCAAACATTTAATGACAGTAGATTAGCATTACACCTTACATCAACTTTTTGTCTTTTTTAAAAGTAATTTAAAAGATTTCATGTAACTTGGCAGAGCTTTTTTCCTTCCACATTATCACTGTATCATCTGTGAAGAGTGAAACTACCCTATTTATCAATCACAGTGATGTCCAAATTGAAAATGAACTATTTGTAGGAAAGATGAGTTTTTCTGTAAAAGCTTTTTGGCATTCTGTTTCATCAATAAACAAAATTTTAGGAAACTTTCAAATAAAAGAAGAAGGAAATTGATTACAATAAAAACTCTTTATAATGTTACGAAAGAAACGAGCGTTTCGTCTTGTAATATTATCCAAACGATGCTGATGAGGTGATTAGACAAGTGTCTCATCCTGAAACTTCAAAATACAACATCGAGGATGATACCGTTCCATGTAAATGATATTTTATATCAAGACCTTCTCATATTGTGTAGCGTTCCAATGAATGACATCTGTTTCAATTCTATTACCCATGTCTGTAGTACAAACTGAATTGCAAAAAAGTTATTTCCCTGTAATTCAATGTTCATATTTAAATAATTGTTTCAGTAGGTCTTTTTCCTTTCGTGTTATCCAATTTTCATGTGAAAGTAACACCTTTAAAAAAAATTTATTGTGGTTACTTCCTTTCTTTATAAATTTTCCACATTTTGTTCAATGATAACAGAATAGGATCTAACATAGAACCCTGTGGCACATCAGATTCCATGCTCATCAATTGCCATGCTCTTTGGGGTTTGAATATCCTCATTATTTGATTTTGTCCTGGATGTTACTTTTTTGCATGATCTACACATCTCCGTATAGAGTTTTTTTAATTGATTGCTTTCTTTCTTTCTATGGAAGATTCCAACATTTTTCTTGTATAAAGATGGAGAAGTAGAAGGGCAAAAACCTTTCTTTCCGAGATATTTCATTTTTGAGAGAATTCAATTGAATGGAATATTATTGAGGCATTTGTTGACTCACCTGTGTGTGCATTTGGATGAGCATTTTGAAGATCTGTCTCCAATTTACTAATCAAGTCTCTGTAACCTTCAACAATCTTTTCCAAATTATCAATTCGTTCTTTTTGAGACTGTATCTGACTTGCCCCGCTACCACCCATGGTGGTGGTATTAGCATACATGGTGAGATCTCTCTCGTAAGAGTCCAATTGTAGTCGATAACTGTCTCTTTCCCGGCTCACCAGCATGAGTTTTTTCTGCATGCGATGTATAAGGCTCTGTTTCTGTTCGCCGGTGGATTTCAGCTCTGCTATCAGCTTTTGACTCTTCTCCAATTCTGACTTTGCCACTTTGGCTTCCTAAGGAGGTAAACAAGACAATAAATGATAAATTATCACAAAAAACCATTAAGACAGATATACAAAACTGAAGATTTGAATAATGGAGAGCGTAAATTACTAGTTTGCTAACGTAAATGATTTTGTATGTTATAATTACTGTACTATCCTGTATAGAGTTCTGAGGATAATGTAACAGGATAGGAAATGTATAATCCAAATCATAACCACTTACATGCATGAATGATTTCAATTGAGACTCCAGTTCCACCTTTTCTGAGGTCAGAGAAAGTTCTTGTTGCTGAAGCCTTTCCACTGCTGACCTCAGCTTATGTTGCAAAACATTATCAGACTCTGTAGATTCGCATATACCTCTTGCAACAGCGCGCCATTCGCTCAAACACATGGCATTTTGAGTTTCTTGGATCTGAAGTAAAAAAATATTTGCTTACTCACTTGTTAAAAATACATAAACAATAAAGAAAATATTATAAATTCACCTGCAGTTCATTCACTTTTTTCTCATATTCCTTAAATTTAACGAGTCTATTCTTCAAATCGAAAACTTCTTCCTCGAGCAGCAACTTATTTCCAATTTCCTCTTTCAGCCTCAAATTATCTTCTTTGAACCGTTCGTTCTCTTTTTGAAGCTCCACATAATTGGCTAATTTGTAAGCCTGAGTCTATACAAAACATATATTTTTGGTATTAATAAATTTAAACTGGAAATAATTTTTTTTAAAAGTCCTGAACTAATATATGCTAATATGCTAAATAGTAACTATTTTTTCCTATGACTAAATATAGAAATTGAGTTCACTTCTCACATATGAGTGAGACTACATTTTTAAAACATTATTATTATTATTTTCCGTGTTAGGAATCACACGTTAAAAGGTAAGACCTCGTTAGTCCTTAGCTCGCACAAGTTTGTCAACTTCTGAGAGTTGTCGTTCGTATGGGGGCGCTGATTAACGGAAAAACAGATTTAAACAGATATACTGTTTAGTTAGATCATTAGCACTTCTTTGATTTACCACGTAACACATAATTTCTTTCAAGGGTTTGACATCAATTGAGTTGACCTCATCGCATCACTCACAATGGAGTATTTTGATCTATGATCAAAGTTATTTGATCCAAACTATCGCCATAATATTTATTGAGTTTCAACCATTTCATAAATGCCTTTCATGACGAAATATTGAATTATGTTTTCCAAACAAAGGACAGACTTTTTTAAAACTTTATTTTACAATTATTCAGTGAACCTTAGAGCGGAGCCTTTGGCTGCACAATAAATGGGGACAACTTACTGTCTAATCTTAAAATATCGGGGTTTATATATTATAAGGGGAAGTGCATTAAATCGTTATCTTAAAAATAAATATAAAATAGTCATGAGTATGATACAAGAAATAAATTAACATATTCTTTAAAAAAATGAGTGAAGAAAACGATGTCTCAAAAAATTCGTGTATATAATTCCTTATATATTTGATAAGCTGCCTCATTGTATAAAAAATTACAAATCTTTTTTTTTCATATATGGATAATAGGGACTTCACGAATTTTTTCCCATGATAAAATGAATTTCAATAAATAATGATATACATTTCATCAACTACTTTTCTGAATAATTTTATTTAATTCATATATTGTTATTAAGCACATATTTCAAGTTTATATATTCATTTGTTATTTTCTTTTTGTCACATATGTTCATATACTTTGTATATGAATATGTGAGATTGTATTTATAAAGATGTATCTTTTTTTATGACTTACCTTGGCACAAGTTTCACTTCTCAAGGTTATTACTAAGAGGTTTTTTATCACCAACAAAAATGAAACTTTTGGTATTATTTAGTTAGTAATGTCCTCTGTAATCTTTGGCGTGAATGCTCTGGTTACTTCATAGTCCATAAAATTACTATTACTAATTATGTTCATATATGATATGAACAGTAAGGGTATAGTCTTTTCTTGTAGTGATTCTGCTTTTTACAAAAAAACAAACCTTTGCTTGTTCCTGAAATTCCATAAAGTTTTCTTTTGCATACTCTAAGTCTTTAATATGTAACTTGGCCTTCCGAAGTTCCTGATCTTTGATCTCATACTCTTTTTGAAAATAGGTATTTTCGTCCAACCTTTTTGCTGAAATATATTGACTGTATATATATGTATTATTAGATTAAGAAAATAAGTACCTAATTCTTCCGCTAATTTCTTTTGTGCCTCAGCATCTTCTTCGGCAGCTTCTAGCATGTTTTCTAGTTCTGCAATTCTTCTTTCCAAGCCCGGTATTATTCCGTTCTCATCAGATTCTGCTATTCTGCTCTCTTCCTTCATTTCTTCCATACTCTTCTCAAGATCCTCTATTTTTTCACTGGTCTTCAGTTTCATAAGTTCATATTTATTGTTTGCCTGAATATAATGAATTTTATAAAAAATGTTTTGGAAATCCAAGAAATTATGCACTTACTTATACATATAAACAAATAAATTGATGAATGTAGCCGTTACTACGTGGTAGGAGATAATAATGAAAAGAGAAATGAAAATTTCTGTTTGTTACCACTTTTATTTGTAACTAACGTTACTGCAGTTTCGTCCTATATGGACATTCTCAAATTTATACAATAAACTAACAATGATTCATTACATTCGCCAATATATACCATCCCTGCCAATTTAAAAACCAGAGAGAAATGATCAAATCGATTTAATTTACTCTCCGGTTTTTAAATTGGCACATCCGCATTGTGAACTGTAAATTCAGGTACTCAATGTAGTCAAGTACCTCTATTTCTATTAGTACCTACAGGGATGGTATATATTGGCGAATGTAATGAATCATTGTTAGTTCATTGTATAAGTTTGAGAATGTCCATATAAGACGAAACTGCAGTAATGTTAGTTACAAATAAAAGTGATAAAAAACATAGAAATTTTCATTTCTCTTTTCAATATAAACAAATATGTATAACACACATCAAACACGTACACATATGTAGGTTTAAGAACACGCAGATAAATATAAAGGTAGAAAATTATAACATAGTATTCTGAGACTCTAGTGGTAATATCTGAATATAAATAATTTACCTCAAAACAAACAGACAGTTAAATATTTTCTAAAACAGTTTTGAATTTGTAGAATGCCTCCTCTACTAGAAATATTTCAATAGTTTTTCTGAAGACATTAATGTAATGTAATCAACAGCAAGACGGTTATACATTTTAACTGGATTGTAAATACAGTTGAAATATTTTTTATTTAAGTACGATACAACCCAATATACAATGCTTCAATTTGAAAATATATCACGCTATATATGTTCGATCCTTTAATGCAATACCTCACATTAAATGTCGATCCAATATCTTCTGAAAAACAATACATACTTGAACTTATTTATTGGCAGTTCGCAAGGAATCTGGTGGAAACTATAAAAAAGTTTAGGTATCAAAAACACTTTGCGATATTATTTTATTGAATTGAAAGAAACCATTACCCAACAAAATAATAAATACACATTATCAATACCTAATTTATGCAATAATTTCCAAAAACAAGCCAAATTCAAGCAATCATCTCTCAGGCCCTCAAAAAACTGTTCAAATGTCAAATGATGGCCTCGCCAATGGTGGCCCCCATTGTTTAAGGCAATAAAGAAAGTGGCATACCAAATCTTTTCGATAGCCGTATGAATTTGATATCTCAATAATTAAAGGTATTGTATGGAAACAATGGAAGTAACAAGTGAATAACGGTCCAGTCATGCAATTGTGAAAACAAGCAAGTTTCCAAAACACTTGATTTTTTATTTTTGAGTACACATTTCTGAAAGTAGACCTTTCCAAATTTGGACTTCAGATTCGTGATAAGAGAATAAAAACACATATCTCTAATATTTTTTTTCAAAATCTAGTTAAAATGAATATTTACCAACCTCAGCTAATTGTTTTTTTGTTTCAATCTCTCTTTTCCTAATTACTTGTAAGCGTTCCTCTAAATCTTCTATGGATTTTTTGTCGTATTCATTTTGACGCTTGAGAGCCTGATTTTCCTCATCAAACAACAATTGCATCTGTTTTCGCACCCCATGCATATGACTTATCCTGCTTTCTAAGCCCAGTATTGTGTTTCTCGCTTCTACCAAATCTGCTCTCAACCTTCTCACCTCCATGGGAGAACCGACGTACGAAATGTCGAGTTTTGATTCACATTTCCTTTTTTTTAAAGGAGTTGTTTCATCAAAGCTGCTTTCATTTGAGTTTGAACTACGAGAACGTTTCACTGGGGTAAACTCATATTTGATTTTTTTCGACTTTACGACGTTCGGTTTCAGGTTTTTCACCATATTCAAAATAGTATCGTCTACGTTCTCAGTCATGTTAACAGGGAGTCTTCAAATTAAAACATAACCTTAAAAATTGCTCTAGTGGTTATGAATTGAATACATCCTGGTGATAACTGAAATTCTTACCGTGAATCCACTTCAATATATGATATTATTTAATGTATTCTAAATTTGTTTAAATTCCAACCAATTTTTAGTGATCATAACAATAACCGTTGTCTTGAAGTTTCACTCGAACTATTTTGCCCCCACCCATGTTCCTTGTCATTCAAGACACGGTTGCCAATGTTTAAATTTGTAAACGAAACTCATCTTTTATTATTAAATCAAAATTAAAGTTATGCCCTCATTCATCACACGCATTTGGCGACACATGTGTCACTTCTTATCATCAATTTATATGTTTTATTCATTGTTTTATACTCATTTTTACTGCCCTGAAGAAGCTTCCCATTGGAAGCGAAGCCTGGCAAAGTTATAAGGCAGAATGCCTTACATTAGAAGCGAAGCCTGGCTGGCAAAGTAAGGTAGAATGCCAGCCAGAATGCCTTACTTTACCAAGCTTTCGCTTCTAATAGGAAGCTTCTTCAGGGCCTATAATTTATTAAGTTATGGATTTTTTCTTGAACAACACTACAAAATTATACTTACATTAAAAATGAGGATAAAACAATAAATTAAACATATAAATTAATACAAAGAAGTGAAATATGTGTAGGATTTTTTTGACATAAAATTCACATTTAATTTCACATAAATGCAATTTTTCAATGAAGTAATTTTTCACTTGTGAACGTTCCTTTTAATCTTGGGCAGGATGATAATGAGACTTATCATTGATGTAGCAGTTGGTTTTCGGTAAACAGTGTGTGAGAATTATTCATTGGATTTTGTGATGAAAATGTCTAGGAATGGAATATATGAAAACACCTTCCCCTTTGCCTCTCCTGTGGACCTACGATTTTGTAGGTACGTGTGGCATATACCCGATGGGAAGACAACAACTAACCTAGCTGAAGACGCCCAGAAAGCTCAAGGGTCTTTTAGCTTTCTACTGTGATTGAAGTAAAACTATCAGGCACCTGTGCAACGTCCTCCATTTGGAAGATTCGTCGCAAATTACTTCCTGCATATGATAAGCAGAAATGAATTTCATTTGGTCATCGGAACGACCGACCGACCGACAGACAGGTTTCCCCTTGCCTCTCATGTGGACCAACGTTTTGTAGTTACGTGTGGCAGATACCTGACGGAAAGACACAACTAACCCAGCTGATGCTACGCAGAAAGCGTTTCATCAAGTGATATTGTTGGGTCTTCATATTTTGTCTTCGATCGTCTCAGATGGCATTAGGGTGTCTTCAAATTTTCTTGTATATTTTATACTTCTAAAATTCTACGCTACAGATTGAAATGAAATTTCTACATTTTTATAATGAAATCAAATTATATCACTTTTCTATATTCACTTCATAATTTCATCACATATTGAAGATTTTATTGCATACTGGCAACATTGCAACACTTCTTTTTTGTTTTTATCAGTAATACCAATAACCTGAGAACAAAAATAAAATTTACTACATTGAATGTTGCCATTTTCTTGTATGGAAAAATTTGTTTGTACAAATTCCTCAATCTCTCACTACTGAGATACTTTTTTTGATCTAGATTGTAATGAAGGAATGTACGATTTTAGTTATTTGAAATTTGCTGTAAAAACGTTGGTTTTTCTTTTGTAAATGACCAACCAGTAGTATCAAATTTATAACTGGCAACGTTGTAACTACTACTCGTCCGACAATGAAATTTCCCTCTTCTGAAGAACCAGTTCAAAATCTAAAAAATCAATAGTTATTTAATATGATTTCTATCAACAGTATCGTTATCGAAACTATTGCACAAAGTCTTTGGGTTGTATTAGTTCCTGAATGAATTCAAAACAAAACTTTGTCGAGGTATATTACCTAATAAATTTGATTTTCTTCGCCTTGCTCCAAAAATTTTGACAACCTCCTGCATAATTTCAGCGAAATTTCCAACCAATCACAATATACCCAATGTTCCGTCATGCGCAGTAGTTTTAGTACTGTGGCTCGGCCAGGCGCCATTTTGCAAGCGTCTTGCGATTGTTTGAGAAACGCTCTTGAAAAGTCAGTGTTTTTAACACGCTAGTACTGGTGAATTTCACAAGTTTAAAACCGAAAAGCCGGTATGGGTGACTATCAAGTGGCAGCAGTTCAACAAGAAGCTCTCGGTGCTGTTCAATTGGAACTCGGAGGAAATCCCAATGCCCTCGCATTACGCCGGCCTTTCGATCCACTTGCCCACGATCTGGAAGCAAGCTTCAGGTTAACGCGTTTTGCGGATCTGAAAGGCCGCGGATGCAAAGTACCCCAAGAAGTCCTCAACAAACTCGTAGAAGGGCTCCAGCAGGATTACAACTCCGCAGAACATGAACATGCTCACTTCATGCATATGGCAATTCCTAGGATCGGAATCGGCCTTGATTGTTCGGTAAGAAATCTATTGGTATGAAAATCGAAATTGTTCGAACTTGTAAGAGTTTTCAAGTTTGAAAGTAGTAATAGGGGAAGTAATTTAGGGTTATTACTTTTTCTGTGTTTGCCAAAAAATGGCAACTTGTCTTTGTTATAGATAGGAATAAAGGATTTATTTTCATTTTTTCAAACTTCTAATTTTGCACTTGAAATATTCAGGTCTTTTGAGATTGTATCGTTGCTAAGATATGTTTTGTTTTTTCTATCAAAGAACGTTTGTTTTGATAATGGGGAGAAGTTGGAATTTTTCAGATCAGATCTCTATGATGTCGAAGGGACATGGACCTCTTATGCTAGAATCATTTAATTTTTTTCTCTAACTTATAATGCTGTATCCAAATCTCGAATCTTCTGCATTTCCTGTATTAAAGGTATCATGGATTGAGCCAACAAAACTTATTGCTTTATAAAAATCGGTAGACTCTGCTAATTTTTTATTATTTTAATTGTGCTATTAAACATTCTTATTTATATTATAGGTTCATTAACTGAAATGTACTGGGATCTCAACTAGGCAATCCTTTTCTTTTGAACATTTCAATAATCAGTTAGCAAAGAACAAGCAGCAAAAATGGTGACATATTTGCATTCCCAATTAAAAAGTCACAATAAACTAGTAGACAAGTGCTTAAGCTTTCTTTTTTTCGGAAAAGGAAATTCTTTAATATCCACTACTGTATATTTACGTGAAGTTAGCCACACTTTCTGACATAAACTTGCATTTGGAATAGATTGGTGGGCCAAACAAATTTGTTTTCTGTAATGGTGACGAAGGGGCAAAATGAGTAGGTATTTTCACTCAACCAGTAATCCTCTATTCAAATTTATTTTTTCATTGCAGCACGCGTTCCCCTTTCCCAGTTTACTGATGAGCCATATACATTTATTTTTTTGTCACAGTTAAGCAAAATTAATTTAGTGTGCGTCTAATCTTAGCTGCCAATACCATATCAAGCAGGTTTTTCTAACCACCTTTCTATTCATAAGTTAAATCAGTATTTTCTTTTTTGGTAATCGCAAAATATGATTGATAAACAATTATATTACATGAATACGAAGTGTAATCGTTACCAGAACGATTGAGAAATTTGGAAACAATGCATGCTAATTCTGCTGTATCCTAAATCCGACAGTCTCTAAGTCAAAAGTGTGGCTAAATTCACATGTGTATTTTTTTAGTCACCACTCAAAAGGATTCTAGATTCTGATAACCAAAAAGGAGAATAACCCGGAAATCAATGAAATGTTTTACACACAATCGACAAGTTTTGAAATTTGAAAATCATTAGGATAAGTCTTAGCCTGTGTTCTTAAATGAGCCACTAGCAAGAAAATTGGTACATATAAAGTAAAAAAGTTGATGTTTGTCTCCTTCCACTTATTACTTAATAGTTCTTCACTTATTTTCATAAACATATTCATTGGAAAGTATGAAGTTCAACTTATAATTTATAATTGTCACTTCATATTTGTTAATTGTTAAGTATTTCACTTCTCCCCACACTTTTGAAAGTTATTGAAAAATTTATCAAAAGAAATTGCCCAAATATATTTTCAGAAATTCAGATAAACGTCGACAATACAATGCTTAGCCTTTTTGAAGTACTTAACATATATAAATTTGGATGTGAGGGAGGAGTAGGTTTTGAAGAATTTGCAAAATTGTGTAAATCACAAAATTCTGCTCCAAAAGCTGCACATGTTTGGTGTTGAAATTTCTTGTTATTCAGCTAATAAAATTGATTTGAGAATTAATATTTTGGTCTTATATGAATGCATTCAGCTGAGAATATTTCAGGAAATGATCTTTGCAAATACCTTTCGACCTAAATATTTTTTCAGATAAATGTCCATTTTTTTCAAACTCGACCAGCAATATAGTATTGTTGTATAATAACATTTTAATTGAAAAATATAAATTTTACGATAGAAATTTTGAGGTTTTGTGATCGCAATGTTTTCAATAAAATATGATTGCTTCTTAGAGAAAAACGCATATTTTGATTGATCATAGGTTAGTGAGTAGTCTCATGATAGTGTAAATGCTGTTGGACTAATCATATTATGGTATGCAATGGTCACATATATAAACAAACTTTATTCCAGGTTACTCCTCTACGTCATGGAGGTTTGTGCCTCGTCCAAACCACAGATTTCTTCTACCCCTTGGTTGATGATCCGTATATGATGGGCAAAATAGCTTGTGCCAATGTCTTGAGTGACTTATATGCCATGGGAGTGACGGAATGTGACAACATGCTCATGTTACTCGGTGTCAGCACCAAAATGACTGAGAAAGAAAGAGATGTTGTCATTCCTCTCATTATGCGTGGATTCAAGGATTCTGCTCTGGAGGCAGGTACCACTGTTACCGGGGGTCAAACAGTGGTCAATCCCTGGTGTACGATTGGTGGAGTTGCTACCACTGTTTGTCAACCCAATGAATATATTGTTCCCGATAACGCCGTTGTTGGAGATGTGCTAGTTCTTACCAAACCCCTGGGCACGCAGGTGAGTGACTCATCATATTGTTTTAGAAAAATCCTTTTTATCACAGAAAAAAATTGAAATATTATGTTACGTATCATCAAAAAATATTTCAAATTATTGATAATCTAATTTTGAAGATCGTCTGGTTCACAGAAATTTGATGATTCTTTCATATTATTATCAAATTTGATCTTATTGAGTAGGGGTCATTAGGTTCAACAAATTAATTGATAAACTCTGTTAAATGTTGGATGACTATTCCACAGAGTATTTAATCTTATTTTCATTAACAGAAAGATATTGGTGATCAATATTCATAATAAATTTTGTAAATTTTTGTAAATGTGATATTTTGACTGTTAGTATATTCTCAATATGATTTGAAGAATTATTGTATAACATCAGAATGTTTTTCAGTTAAGCTTTGTTCAGTTGACTTTGCACTAATGTTTAATATGTTTGTTTAAAATCTCTTTGAAAATAATTCATTGATATGTTTTACCTTTCCCCTGATTCCATAATAACCCAGGCATCATCCAAGAAGGGGCCTAGAAATTTTTACATTAACTATAATGAATATTTGGTCACTATTGCTTGTGATTCAACCATTGTATCTGCTGCAGGTAGCCGTCAACGCCCATCAATGGTTGGACCAACCGGAACGTTGGAACAGAATCAAACTGGTCGTTAGTGAAGAAGACGTCCGGAAAGCGTATCACCGTGCCATGGACTCGATGGCCCGTCTCAACCGTATTGCCAGCAGACTTATGCACAAATATAACTCACATGGCGCAACAGACATCACTGGTTTCGGTCTGCTAGGCCATGCCCAAACCCTGGCTTCGCACCAGAAGAACGAAGTCTCCTTTGTTATCCACAACTTGCCCGTAATTGCCAAGATGGCAGCAGTAGCGAAAGCTTGCGGAAACATGTTCCAACTTCTCCAGGGACACTCTGCAGAAACTTCTGGAGGGTTGTTGATCTGCTTACCCCGTGAACAAGCCGCGGCTTACTGCAAGGATATAGAGAAGCAGGAGGGATACCAGGCGTGGATCATCGGTATTGTAGAAAAAGGTAACAGAACGGCCCGCATTATTGACAAACCACGAGTGATCGAGGTTCCCGCCAAGGAATAAGACATTTATCAGATATATAGATATATATCCAATACATTTCACGTAAGTTTTGACTGTACACCTGGGTCGGAAGTATGATCCACGACAGCTTGAGAATTTAATTTGTCATTTTAGTTTTGAGCCTCTTGAATCGTTTCCAGATTCAATATTTTTATTTGGTCTTCAGACTTTGAACTCGATAGTTATTATCTATGTTAAGGTATTTTAAAGTTTGTTTATGCGGTTTCAACAAGTTCAACAACAATTTATGATTTTACATGTAGAAAGATGTTTGATGGTATTTTGTATAATAATTTTCCAATATAAGTAAATATCCAAATTAGAGGTTTGTTTTATTTTATAAGTTTTTGTGGTATGTGAATATATGGTGAGACTGAACAGAAATTGTTATCAAATTTGAAACTCGAATAATATAAGAATGACTAGAGGTAATTGTTGTTTTATTTCCTTTTCACTAATTTCAATGGTTCATTAGTTGAGAATTACTAATTTGAAGTGGTTTCAAAAAATATGTGACCTGCTACCCGGCTTTGCATGGGTAACAAAATGTATAAGCCCACTTTCTTTTTCTGTGATAGTATTACATTACTCTATGAAATTCTTTGAAGTAACGCTCGATACACAGGGCTGGTTTTTTCGGGCATGTTTAACATAAGTATTTCATTTCATTGCGAACCTTATTTTCCGTGCATTGCCTACATGTCATGTGGTGGCTCTTGCTGACATCTTTTTGATTAGGAATTTCATCTGGAAAATGCATGAGTTTGTAGTCCTCCGCCTTAATCAAATTGTAACCGGGGTTACCATCTTGATGGTTCGCCGATGAACCATGAAGATGAATGAACCACTCGTGCTAGCGAAACGTTAGGATATAGTTCCAAATCACGTCGGCTTTCAAACCCGAATGAAGATCGTATCAACGAGCAAGGTTTGTTTGGAATTTAATTTTTTATGGATATAAAAAGAATTCCACTTTAAGAGGTGAAACACGACCTTCCTATACCAGCATATACTTGTGCGAGGACATTTTATCATTGCAGTGCGACACCTTTGGTTCTATTTTCCCTGTCCAAAACAGTTTTTGACAGGAATAAGAACAGGATGATATTTAGTTGTCAAGAATAAAACTTCCCGACGATCTCATGTCTCCACTTGGATACATACGCTTTTCCACACCTTTTCAGCTTCAATTTTATTAATTCTTTTGGATTAATTTTTCTATTTGCGTTCCAATCGTATGCGTTTTTCTTAAAAGCTTTTTAGAAAGTCCCATACTGTTATAAAAATTGTCCAGAACTTATGTCAAGATAGTTAAATGTTGTGGTAGCCCTAGTTGCTGAAGAAAAATATTTATTTCATTTTTGTGTTTATTGATTTAATTTAATTTCTCTATATGTAAGTAAGTTGATTGTCAAATAAAAAACTATAACTCGAGTAGTTGTCAGTCACCTATTTATGATATGAGTGTTAAAAGTAAGGTTTTATTTTGTGAGTGAAAAAGTTTGCGAAATGAGCTTAACGAGTTGAGCAATTTCACGAATATGGAGCCTGTCGGCGTGAAGAGCTGTGCAATTTATTAATAGAAGACATTAAATTAATGGATAAATCATTGATTGTTCAAATTCCAAATACAAAAATAGGTCTAAATACGTTGCACTACGCCCTTCTCTTAGCAATCATCAACGTTTTTTCTGAAATACTCAAAATTATAAATACAGTGCCAACCCAGTTGGTATAAACACGTTTGGGAAAATGCCCTCTACCATTGCTGAGTTTTTGAATCTCCCGGAACACTAGTGTTATAGTTATTTATGTATCAAGGGAATTAGGAGGGCCTTAATTACCGATGGCAAAGTTTGCGTCCCGAGGGCCTCTGGCCCGAGGGACAGCAATTGCCTGAGGTTATTAAGGCTCATTAATTCCCGTGGTACATAGATAATTTTATTTCTATTGGATTTACGGCCCTATATCCCTCATTCATGAAAAAAATTCCCGTTTTCATCTGAAAGACGTGGCCAGAATATTAGTGGGTATTCCACAAAATTCCGAAATGTTCGGATCTTCAATTTTGGGAACAGGAGAAAGTCGCAGGGGGCCAAATATGGTGAATTCGGTGGCTGAGTCATGATTATGGTGTTGTTTTGGCCACAAAATTACGAAGAAGCAATGACGAGTGAGTAGGTGCATTATCGTGATGCAAAAGCCATGAATTGTTTCTCCACAATGCCGGACGTTTTCTTCGTATACAATACTTCTTATTGACCGTACGACCATGTGGCAAGAACTCCTGATACACTACGCCATTGATATCTAAGAAAACAGTAAGCAAAACCTTGACATTTTATAGAACTTTGCGTGCTTTTTTTTATCTAGGCTCTTCCATTGGGAAGATGGGATGTTGGTTTATTCCTCTCAACAACAAACTTAACAGCTGAAACAGTGAACATATGTCCGAGACGAGTCTATTAACATAAAAAAATCTTTAATCGAATGTACGTAGCCCGCGAAATATGAATATTCACCCAATTTTTTTAACAGACCTCGTATCTAATTACGCAATTTTATATAAACTCCGACAGTTTGTATAAAGGCATTCAAGATAACGTATGCTAAAATATATAATACCGTCACTATAGCCATTATATCACTAGTCACTATAGCCATTAAAGTAAAATAAATAGAAGAACCTCAGAATTCTGTTTGGAACATTAAAATGAATGTTAATTAGTTTAGTGATCCAATAATTTTTCTGAATAAAGGTTGGTTGGGTAACAGGATCAATTTTTTCTTAAAAAAAAACAATTATTGTTTTCTTGCAGAAGTTTCGACTTTAAATTCTTCAGGGCTCGAAAAGTAGTTTCTTCGGGTTGATAATATTACTTTTTTAAAAACCATCATATTAGATACATATTAAAAATAAAAAACATTGCAACGCAATGAAACAAACGAATTATTCGTTTGCAGTGTTTATTTTACCAAACCAACATTTTTTTATTAAAATGAATATTCTGAGAAATATGTCTCAATATCAGAATACAATCCGTATTTTCTTTCTTCAACAGCTCAAGATCGAGAATTTTCAAAATATTGATAAATTCATAATGGATAATGGGAAAATTACTTTCATGAGCACATAATTTTAAGAATTTATTTTGGACTCTCTAGAATTACAAAATTATCATCATATAATTGATCCATAATAGACGATCATTGAGACTACTAGAGCTAAGCAAACTATTAAAACTTGAGAGATATTTGCCTGTCGTACAAATGGTCTAAAAATTCAAATCGTTCGTCATAAAAAACATACAGGTTCTTTATAGAGAAATTATATCTTTGCTATTTTCAAGGAAAAAAAAGATATACCTCTCACTCCGTTAATGATCATGTTCAGTATTGGTGCAGTTTCTCATCTGTTTGTTCTACGAGGTATTGTTACTAACTTGGATTCAGGCATATTTATTGTGATGACAAAAATAAAACTTTATTTTGTATGTTTGTTGGTTTTTGACCTTATCATATTGAAATTGGTATTCACAAAGTGGATCTGAAATATTACCTTAAAACTAATGAAACTTGTTATATTTATTATTTTAGTAGATTGGTCAGAACAATCACAATTTTACTTATATAATAAAGTGTACATAAGTAAATTTCCTTTACACAATATGTAGGAGTAATTCAAACATTTTTATCAAAATTACATTATTGATACTAAAACATACATATTGGAAATTAATGAAGAAAAGAGAATTGAGACTTTCTATGTTTTTACCACTTTAATTTGTAACTAACGTAACTGCAGTTTCGTCCTATAAGGACATTTACTACCACGTAGGAACAGCTAAATCCATCAATTTATATTGGAAATTGATGCTCACAAAGATAATCAATAAATTGATGGATGTAGCCGTTATTACGTGGTGAGAAATCATCAGCAAAAAAAAAAGAATTGAAACTTTCTATGTTTTTTACCACTTTCATTTGTAACTAACGTTACTGCAGTTCCGTCCTGTGAGGACATTTTCAAACTTGACATAAAAATCCTCAACAAAGAGTTTTAGATAAATATTGAAATTCATTGTAAATATTGTGCTATATTGGGAAATACGAATTAATGCACATGCTACAGGCTGAGAGTGAAAGCAATAGTTTGGCACTGGAGCAAGTGATAACGTTTTCCATTGGTAAAATCAGTGCCACATTTCATTTAAGAATCAGATCAATGATTATTGCACTCAGTGCTTTGTCAATATCAGATAGGTTAGGTTGGAGATATCGGACTTTTATGTTGATGATATGATCACAGGTTTTGGAAGTGAATTAGAAGCAATTGAGAAAACTAAGCGAGTGATCAATATACTTATCAAATAACAATTTCAGCTAAGGCAATGGTGGTAATGAAATAAAATATAAAATCATTTCATGATAACAACTGATCCAGATGCTATGATAAAAATGTGGGTTTGTATTGTAACTCCCAACAGGACACCTTCCAGTTTATTATATCAAATGCAACAGCACAAAAAGATCTAATTTAGCCACCATAGCTAAGCTTTATGATCCTTTGGATCCAGTTGGACCTATTATTAAAAAGGCCACAATGACTTGAGTTTTTTACATTTACCAATCACAGACAAAGACAAACTTCTGTTTGCATACTGATTTGAATTTATTCCTTTATTCTTTGAAGATAGGCATCCCACAGTAACTTTTTATAAGCAGCAGCTGCGACCTCTGGATCTTTTGCCAAAGTTATCCCTCTACCGATTAAACAAACATAATAATATTCACTTAAAAATAAGTGATCATTAAAATACATCAAGAATCGATAGCACCATCAAAATATTTCTGGAAATATATCAGTATTTCAACAGCTTCTCTAAATCTACTGTACTACTTGATTTCTTCAACTCAGACTGGCAGGTGATCAAATAATTCATATCCATTGAATATAATTGAGTTCTTGTGAATGTTACTCCAAAGAATGATGTATTTTCTGTTTATATTACACTTTAAGAATATTTTCTTAAACACATGAATAACAATCCTTAGACATTTCGAAATTTTTAATGGCATCGCTTTCTAAATATCAGTCGTTCAATGTTTGATTCATTCACTGAATGATCATTAATTTTTGAATAGATTTTGTCAAACATTTTCACGTTTTGCAATCGATATCATGAAAATATATGCATCTGTTTGTTTCTGCACTCTTCATCACTATTGAGTTCACAATATCGCAACACCCTTTGAATAATACCAAAAATTACATGAACACTTGCCACAAATGTTAGTCAATATTTGTCAAAACTGACATACTTTAAAAAAATAAATAAAAAATGTCATTTCTCTACATAATTTTGAAAAGTCATTAAAAAAGTTGTTTCTTCAACAACTTTAGTATATACCAAATTTCATTAATCTAGGACAATTCTTTTTGCCATTTTGGTTTATATTTAGTGCTTGTTGAGCAACATGTCAAGCAGAGTAGTTTCTTCATCAAATTTCATTGTTTTATAAACTTATTTGAATAACTATATAAGAAATTAGTCAGAAGTGTTGTGAAGTCATTGTCTCGAGAAAATTCAATTCGATATTGACTTTTAAAGCCTTAATCCTTTTGGCAGAATTTTGAGGAAATCACTTTATAACTTAACGATGCCCCATTGAATGGATGTTCTACAGCTGAAATCAAAGAATGAGAGTTGCAGAGAACATACAAATCTTGAGGAAATGAGTTTCGGTTGAATACAGTACCTAAAGACTCCAGAATTTAAAGTAAAACATTTGCTAAATTTCTTCCCGTTACGTTACCAATGGAAACAAATAATGTTATGACTAGTTATTAACGGATATCTTATTCGAAGAGATATCTGTTCACTTTTCGAGAGGTTGTTTCATCGGCTAGAACTGAAAAACATTTTGCTTCGTTTATTGTTGCAACAATTTTTTTGTTCACTACATATCATTATCAGTTCATTTTGAATTCAATGATTTGGAAAAATTAACGTCGATTGTCAGCTGAGTTTATTTGACTGGGAAGAGTTCTCTTCCTAGCAACATCTTCAGAAAATAAAAAACAGAACTTACACAGATCAACAGTTGACCAATCTCATTATATGAATAAAATTCATCAAAGCAAGTTTTATATTTTTTTCTATTGAAATTTCAGAGAAAATGTGTTCTGACCCCATACAAACCCCCTTAAGCTATGGCTTTGTTGCTGATTCAAAATGAGAACTATCGATTCCAAAAATTTCAAAAATATGCTATGACAATAAGGGATGAGTTAAACTCATCTGAATTGTTTCCTATTCGTTTTCTTTCATGCACCTCCTTATTTGCAAAAAATACTTTCAACTATGAGCACCACAATCAAAATACTGCTGGAACACATAATTTTTTAAGCCAATCAAATTGAAAAACATAAAATATGTCAAAAAATTCAAAGCATTTGTAAATAATATTTATTAGATGAATAGTATGTGTCTTTATACAAAAGTATTACTTGAATACTTTACTGTAGTGTAACTTTTAGTATTATTATGTTGAATTATTATGATGAATAAATTCTATTCTACTTTTAAATATTCACCTGCAACCAGATCCGAATATTCCTCGGCCATCTCCAAAGTACCTTTCACATAACTTTCCGTTATTAAACTTCCAGCAGCACTAGTTTCTGCTAACAGAAATACCCCTCTCTTCTGCAAACCTTCGCTACCCTTTATTGCATCCAAAACGCCTTTACCCAACAAAGAATGGGCTGTTACCAGGTTAGCCCAAGACGAAATGCAACCACCTCCTTTACTATACTGATATTCCACAGTTTTTCCAATATCACAGAACTTCCTATCTTCGAAGAGTATAAAATTGTGCCTGTTTGCTATCTCTTGCAGGGGTCCTAACATATTCGGATGGAAATCTTCAACAATGTCGATGTGGGTTTTCAAGGCACAAATGTGGGGACCAACTCTTTCGGCAAGATTCAAAATATCAGTAGAATTTGTTAGGTCTGCAGCTACACACAATGTAGTCTGCTTGGAAGATATAATTTCAAACAGTTTTTGTGAAACTGGATTTTTGGCATATTTTGCCCGATCCAGAAATGAAAGACCTAGTCGGTCTGCAAAAAAAGAAAATATTGTGTTAACAAATATGAAATCAAGGATGAGGTTCATAAAGGTAGACGTAGATTTAATGTCTGAAAATTAATATTCAGAAAAACTATGAACGGACAAGTGATATTTGAGTTGCGTAAACATACCGAATTTATTAATTGATAAAACTTCATAGACCGTAATATTAATATTAGCTTTGTTGTTCATAAGACCGCTATATGTCACAAGAAATACATAAGAACTATTTCACACTTATTTATATCTACAGAAGAATCTCACTAATCCGGCACTATTAAAAACCAGTGGGTGCCGTATTATTAGAATGTTCGGATTATTGGGTTATAGAGAAAAATAGTAATAAATAGAATAAAGCATTTCATGAATAGAATATGTATGTATGAACATATTTGTGTTCTTGTTTGACAGGTTTTATTGTAATTGTAACACACGTACAGGTGATAAGTTTTGAGGTTAAGACTGCTAGACGACGACAAGACGACGGAGTGCATAGGTGTTCCGGATTATTGGACGTATCGGTCTACTGAAGTGCTGGATTAGTGAGATTCTGCTGAACTTGTTTTAGATAGGTATATTTTTCGTCCGGTTTGTGAGTGAAAGAAACTTCTTTGCATGATCTACACATTTTTGTTAAGACTTAGTGACACATTCATTTTTCTTTCTTTTTTTTGTAAGTTGCTCACACTTTTTTATATTGATGATAAAATAGAAAGCCAAAAAGGTTTTTTTCACAAATAATCAATTATAATGAGAAGGTCAGCTAATGTGTCCTGGAAAAAATTTAATATTACAATAGTTCATACTGAAAATGTCTGTTGGTCAACCATAAACACTATTATAACAACTCTACAACGTTGTGATCATCAGACGATTTATAAGTGAATCAATTGACAAATTGTCCGATGTTACCGGATGTATTAGCCGTGGTCTGCAGGTTTTTATATGTGACGTTTCATCAGCTACTGCAGCAGACATTATTAAAGGCGATGCGGCAATGGGTCAATTGATCCACCTTGCTGCGATGGGCAAAATGAAAATCGTCCTGGTGCATTTGTACTTATAATGTGAATAAGTGCTGAACGACTGGCTGCGCTTGTAGCAGTCGATGTCGGATGACCGACTGCTCTTGTAGAAACCATGTGTTAACATGTAGTCTACTCAAACGTGACATCACAAGCGACACTGTGACACTAAACTTTCATAATTTGTGGAAATATGATATACATTGTAATTATATATTTCCCAACATCACATAAACATAAATTATATTTCATGAATTGAGTTTTGCCTAGTGTGCATAAAATTTGTTTAAATCTTGATAAATTTGAGTTTACTTTTAATGATTTATGGAAATCAGTTACACTGTTACAATACATAGAGCTGCAAACTAGATTTGGATATTAGTAGACTAAGCATAGGCAACTATCTTCCATCAGTCTTTCAGGCTAAAGTTAAGTTATCTTGCAATGGGCAACAAACAATAATTTGTGGCCTAAAAGAAATGTGGTGATTAATATTGTCATACAACAGTTAGGGTGAACTTGGGGCACCGATGAACCCAAGAGTAACATCTAGACTGGGAATACTGTGAAGACAGTACATAGTTGGTGTGCCAGAAATGGATCCTCAACTCTTCATAATAGGCCCTCAACCAGTTGTGGAGGTACCAAAATGTTTGGTGTGAAATCAGATTGAGAAGTGGATCTATAAGAAATATAAAGAGTATGGTAAAATACACCCGGGCACACACAGGAAAACTTTTGAAAAGAGACCGCCCGAGAAGAAAACTGCTTCAACAAAGCAGGGATTAGGTCAGAACAATTACAAGGAAACTCACTGAACACTGTCCATTAAAAGGACACCTGAACAAAATTGGTCTGTACAAAGGATACCTCAGCTGGAGATAATGCAACAACATATTTTGTATGAATGCAAGGCACTGGATCACAGGAGGTAAATAATTTATGGATAACCCAAACTACATCTAGAAGAATATGACGTACATCCAGCAAGGAACCCGTACAGGGAACAAGATTCTTGGAATGAGTGATAAGAAGATGGAGCGAAAAAAATCAAAGTTTCTAGCACTGGAATGGCTCATTTTTAAGAACTGAATGTTTTTTTTTTCAATGTTTTCAAAATGAAACTCCAACTTATTTTACCAAATTCATTATCATCCAAAACCACAAACACAAATATCCAACCAGAAGTAATGACAAATTATACGAGAACTATGAACTCCATATTCTATAAAGGATTGTTAGAATATAATAAACTTCATTATGAAGTTAAACATATTACTCTGTTTAACAAATTTAAACACTTTTAAATTGTTAATTTGCTAAATGAGTTGAAAATGACAACAATGAATGTGTTATCAGACTAGTTCATATATCAAAACATCTCATTGAAAAATGGAATCAAAGAGTTAGAGATACATGTGATCCTTAACAATAAATTATAAATAATTTTACTGAGTGTCAAGAAAGAATAAAATTACATGGGTTCAGATAGTTTTACCTAGATATAGAGTTATGTTGTCATACTCTAAAACTTAGATTTAGGATCCTCACATTGAACTATTCAGTTGTTGACACTGACTCTAAAACAAAGACATACAGAGAGGCAAAAGAAAAAACTGAATTTACAGATACCTAATTCGAATTATAAGATGTGAAAGTGGAATCCTGCCTTCAATCTCGAGTAGTGAGAAATTGTAAGCATTTTATTTATTAATTAATTTGATATGAAGTTATCCACGTCCACACATATACAGATGAAAAAATATGACACTTTTATTAACACATTATTACGGAAAAATCAATGCTACATTATTCAGATCCATGAAAAGATGCAACTTCAAATCAGTCCAGGACCAGATATCAAGGGGTTGAAAAAAACGAAACTAAGCATTTTTTTAAAAAGAACCCTTATGATAATTTCATTTGTCAATTACAGTTGCTAATTATGCTAAATAGGGTTAGTGTGGGGGTATTTACTCTAAATAATTGATTTACTCATTTCAATGAAAAAACATGGCATTCTAATTTTAATATACGTTTTCCATATAAAAGACTAGGTAGTAATAAATGAAAAACATGAATTATCAATACTTGAAACTTGTGACAGGACTTAGGACTGGTGCATGAATCCAATCTTGAAACTGCAAAATGAATGTACCCTTATTTATATGCTTTTCTAAGATTGGACACCACAAAGCTTACCATTAATTTTGGATAGCTCACAATAACTCGTAGATCACAATAAACGGGAGTCATCACTCCTATTTTTGTTTTATATTCTCCAAATTTTATTGCATTTGCTTCGAACAATTCTTTAGCAAAATTTTTCAATTTTTCTTCGAATGACTTCATATTTGTGATTGATATAATAGATTAATGAATAAAAGTTGCAATTAACTTCAATAATCTCACAAAATGTTTCTTCTGAAAAATAAAAGAACTAATTAAACGTTACGCCACTGAAAAACATGTGCAGGCGCTTCAAACTTCAAGACTCTATTATCACAGTACTTCCTCTACTTCTTCTTAATTTTTGTCCCAGCTTCCAGATTTGGCGCTATTATGANACGACAAAGGAAGCGAAACTATTAGCACACTAGAACAACATAAATGTATATCTTCACAAATATTATACTCTTTGAATTAATATAATCCCAGAAATTGCTGAATTTACACCTGAAAGGTATTTTATGCATTAAACCATAACTTATTTACTTGAGGACAAAGAAAATAATGCTCTCTCTTTCAACTGCTTCTGCTTTACGGAAAACGGGTCGAGTCGGTTCCAGATCAAATCTCTATATCATATATTACGTTAATGATTTTGTTCCAAATTATTGACTTTGAAAAGTTAGTCTCACAAAAGCTATCTGATGATACTGATTTCTTGATAAGGACTGAATATTTGATTTCAAATGAGGGCAAAATGAACATCAAGCTTTTCACAACAGGACACATTTTTAAAAACCTGATACAAAAATTATAGTCTGTTACGAAAATATTAAAAAATTGTAAATTGTGTAGGGATGCAAATAGACGAAAAATAGTTGAATAAATATTATTCATAATAGAACCCTATGAATCCTTTGGAAAGTCAAATATAACGAATGATATTTATATGATGAAGACAGTATGTGTGAAATAAATTGATCACATGGAATTCCAGCGAATTTAATTATAATAATTAATGATTGTTATTCTTATGTTATTCTTTCAGAAGAATTGATCAACTCGAGCCAATAAATCCAATTTTAGTCAAGAAGGAACTTTATTGACGATTTTACTCTCTTCCAATCCTTAAATGATAACTTTTGTTTACAAAAACAAATGAACACAAATATACATACAGAATGATAAATAAGTAAATATCCACATTCTCCCCCCGCTAGAGTATTTAGTTGTTCTCTACCTCCAACTTACCAACAAAAACGAAATACTCTAGTAGGAGAATATGGATATTTACTCATTATATTTCATTCTGTATGTTTGTGTTCATTTGTTTTTGTAAACAAAAGTTGTCAGTTGAGTACTGGAAAATAGTAAAAGCGTCAATAAAGTTCTTTTTTGACTGAAATTAGATTTATTGGCTCGAGTTGACCAATTCTTCTGAATGAATAACATTGGTGAACCTGACGTGACGATATGGAGCACTAAATACCAGAAACTTCAAATGGCTAGTTCGAGAAAAATTTCATTGCCGTAAAATTCTCAGATTCAGACGTTAAAACCGCTATCATGAAAAAATTTCACATTGATGATTATTTGGGTTCCAAAGATACAGAAGAGGAAGCTCTACAAATGATTTTAGAAGTATGCTGAGTCCAAAAAATCTCTGGTTATGAGGTAATAAATTGGATGACAAACAAATTCCCAATTAATTCGAACGAAGCTTGCCGATGAACTAGTTTTAGTCTCAACGAAGAAAATTGAGGAAACTCTTCTACATCGAATATTGGGCATGTTGTGGGACACTAATAATGATAACTTTTCATTTAAATGTGGAAAATCCCAGATTTGTAAAGGGACTCCTACGAAAATAACCTTATAGAAGGTCTTTGATGTCCGTTTTTGATCCACTAGGTTTGATTTCTCCCTTCACCGTTGAAGAAAAAATTATAATGCAGGATATGTGGCGATCTGGAATCGACTGGGACGATATTTTGTCACAGGACCTACAGATTTCCTGGAAAAAATTGATGAGAGAAATCGAGAAAGTCTAAAATAAAAAGTTTCAGATGTTACAAAACTACCTACCTTATACCATCAGTTATAGCTACCGAACCTCACAAATTTTGCGACAGCTGTGAAAAGGCGTTTGTTGCAGCAGTATATCTTCGAGTTGTTGGAGGTGAACAAACCTAAGTTTGCCTTATTTCGGCAAAAACTAGAGTCGCTCTGTTGAAACCATTATCTATACCCAGGTTGGAACTTCTGGCAGCGGTCATGGCAAGTCGGCTTTCTCAGCTGATGAAAAAAGAACTGGAAATTCCTATCAATCGAACATTTTTTTGGTCTGATTCAAGATGCGTTTTGAATTTGATAAAAGGTGATGGAAGAAACTATAAACCGTTTGTATCCCATCAAATAGGTGAAATACAAGAACGAACGTAAGTTGAAGATTGGTACTGGGTTCCAACTGAATATAACATTGCAGATAAAGCAACAAGATGGACGCCAGGCCAACGAATAATTATTTCAGACCAATGGTTTTCTGGGCATAATTTTCTCAAAGAGCCTGAAGAATTTTGGCCATGCCAAAAAGACAACATAAAATATTTGTGTGAAGTGGATGTTGAATTGAAACAAAAAAAGTTTGGAACATGTCTGTTTATTATGAACTATGAAAATTGTTTACCACTTGTAAAAAGATTCTCCAAGTGGGTAAGATTAATTCGTTCTACAGCTTGGTGCTTAAGATTTATTAACATTCTCAAAAACAAATTTAACCAGTTTAACAAAAGAAGAAATGTCTGATGCTGAGAAAATTGGTACAGTGTGCACAAGAGAGTTTCCCCTCAGTGATATGCCACCTCAAGAATGGAATTAAGTAGTAAGCTTGCTAGTCTATGTCCTGAACTGAAAGATGGATTTATTGTTCAGTTCAAATGTTTCGAAATGATTGTCAAGAAATGTTAGTCAACCAGGTATATTGAGTCCAAAGCACAATTTCACAAAATTGCTCATCCAGCATCATCATGAGAAATTTCTTCATAGAGGAATGGAACTGGTACTGAATGAACTCCGACAAAAATACTGGGTGATTCATGGCCGAGCAGCATTCTCCAGATGCCTTAGATGCAGAATTGAAAGGAGTAAACCACTACCGCCCATGATGGGACAAATACCAGAAGAACAATTGAAAAGAGAAATCAGACCATTTGTCAATATAGGAATGGACTTCTATGGACAAATTTTCGTGAAAATTGGCAGAAAAAGAGAGAAAAGATGGGGAGTTCTGTTCACCTGCCTTGCGGTGAAAGTCATCCACCTTGAAATAACCTACAGCCTCAACACCGATTCGACCATTCAAGCAATATTGAGAATGGCTGCAAGAAGAGGATAACCTCATGTTATTTTCTGTGATATTGGGACGAATCTAAGAAGTGCAGCAAAAGAAATACATCAAGTCATCGAAAAAAATAGACCATTCCAGTTTGATTGTATGTCTGGAAGAGAAATCACTTTCAAGTTTATCCCTCCTTCTTCACCTCACATGGTAGGAGCTTGGGAGAGATTGATTGGAACCGTATAAAGAACTATTGGCAAAGTTCTCCATGATCACAGTCTAAGAGAAGAAACACTGCACTTTTTTTGCTGAAACGGAAAAGATCATCAACTCTCGTCCTTTGACGAGAAAATCGTCTGACTCTACCAATGCAGTCACTCCGAACAACTTCTTGATTGGTTCTTCCAGTGGTGATGGTGACTTATTACCATTGAATCCAAGTGCTGACAATCTGAGGATAGAATGGAAAATATCTCGCAAGTTATCAGATTCTCTCTGGAATCGCTGGACCAGAGAGTACCTACCATCAAGGCGGAGTAAATGGCCAAATGATAATAAACCAATATCATGAAATGATATCGTCATATTAGTTGATGATCAAGCCCCCAGATATAATTGGAAGTTGGTCAGAATAACGGGCATATATCCTGGACCTGACGAGAGAATACGGGTAGTTGATGTTAAAACGTCAACATCGGAATTCAATGACTAGTAACGAAGATATATAAATTTGAGCCAGAGAACAACTAAATATTCTAGCGGTTGGGAGAGAATGTGAATATTTACTAATTATTTATCTTTCTGTTGGTTTATTTGTGTTCATTTGTTTTTTTAAACAAAAGTTGTCAGTTAAAGATTGGAAAATAGTTAAAACGTCAATGAAGTTCCTTCTTGACTAAAATTGGATTTATTGGCTCGAGTTGACCAATTCTTCTGAAAGAGTAACATAATAATAACAATCATTAATTATTATGATTAAATACGGCTAGAATTTCATGTGATCAATTTATTTCACCCATACTGTCTTCATCACCTAATTTTCAAAACATACAATAGAGATACAACTGAAAAACATTTTCACCTACAGAAAAATTACTAATAAATAACTAATTTCATATTATTTTGAAGCTGATTGAGGTTCATTTTTCTCATCTTTGGCATTGGTCTCCACTTGACTCATCCCATTCAGCTCGTCATCATCTCCTAGGTCTTTATTATACAAGGTTGGATAACGCTGCATACAGTTTTGCATCCCCTTGAAGAGATCGTAACAGTCACTACCTACAAATAAGTATTTGTAATCAGATAGATAATAATAAGGCATTTGTTGTTTTTTTGATATACAAAGAATAGACTAAGATATTTGAAATAATTTTGACTACATAATCCAAAAATTAGGTAAAAACATGATATAAAACAAATCAACATGATTGAAATTTACTAAAATTTGTGCATGCTGATTGTTCAGGATAGATTGCATTTTTTTTCAAATACATCAAGATACTATATATCTTAGTGATCTGTTGCTGATATTATACCTAACTATTTTTGAGGTAATGTTCAGCTGCCAGACTGAGTCATGGCCAGTGAGAAGCCCCTCCCTCAAAATGTGCACCGGCCATGACTCGGCCCGGTAGCTGTACTTGAACAGACTACTAACTGCAGTTTTCTGATGTGATGTTTGCTTGAGGGGTGTGCATGCCATTTGTGTGAAAAGCAAAGCTCACACGCTGTCAGCATCTTTGGTCTACGAAAGGACAAGAGAATTTCAAAGCATATTTAGTGATTGTGTCCAGATGCCCTTTAAAGAAGAATATTTTTTATGGTTCTTTTTACAATGACATATATTTGGAGCCTCAGAAACATTAGTAATAGATATGAAGACGGAAGAGGGATAAGTTGCAGGGCAACCCTATAATGTTTTACTTTACGGTTGGTTTAAAAGTAGTGAGTTTTCCTCAGTTCACCTATGATTGTGTATTTTTGCCAGAGCATACATTTTTGGACAAAACTGGAAGGTTAGGTAGAAAGTTGTTGCAAACATATGTAGCTTACAGTATTTCACTAACTGCTGGAAGTCAGATGTAATTATAGAAAAACGAGTGACAGTGAATACCATACCCAATTCACAATTGGGTATGACAATTCAAGTATCTGAAGTGATTACTGTTAATCAGTCATTTATGGTGACAAATTATGATCAGAGGTAGCGACAGCTTTAAAAATATAACTAGAAAAAGTTTCGTAGAAATGTTCTGGCAGAATATCAAATGATTCAAACAAAAATGTAATGGAATATTCAGTAATGAATTTTAACCCTTTCACTAAACATGAATGGAACTGTGACGTTGTATCACGAATTGATGACGCTTGTTTACCAGCATCATAGTAAGTATCAAACCACTGCTTTCAAAAAAAGTAGCATGTAGCAAGAGAATGAGGCTGTCCAAGTTTTTTTTTCTCCTAGCTCAATTTCTAGTTAGCCACTTCTGACCATAAAGCAGTGAAATGTTTTGTTTTTGTAACATACTTAAAATTTACCTTTTGGTTCAGCTTCAGAATAGTGAAAACAGCTGAAAGCATTTCGAAATTCAACACCGCACGGTCCCGTAGCCATTCCTCCTAGACACGGGCAATTCCAATTAATATCTCCATTTGGTAAAATTAAACCAGGTTGAGGATCTGGATCAGGAAGTTTAACTTTGCTAGGAACCTGATGATCTTCTTTAGTTGCAAATATAAGAATATCTTTGTTGTTTGGACCTACTTTTCGACAATGAGACATTTTATTTTCAGTGTCGATATTCTCGGCTATCAGCTTGGAGTGCTAGTAGTGAAGGAGAAGCTTTATGAATGATATAACGACAGATATTAGTCTCGTGTCGGGCAGAAAGAGTCAAGCTACTTCTCAACTTAACGTACTGCGAATTTGGTACTCGCAGAATTCCTCGTTTATCTATATGATTAAACTTCAGTACGTCAATAGAAACTGTTGAACCGACTTCCCCAAATAATTCGTTTACAGCTTCAATAATGTTTTTCTTAAAGTATACAGGAGTCACTTCTTCATCATAATCCTTTTCAAACTTTCTGAAAATAAAAAAATAGGTTATTGCAAAATACATAATTTTGAATTAGTGAAAAGTACTAACAAAGACAAATCTAAGTAATAAAAATTAGTCATGGTTCAATGTTCTGGTAATGAAACGAAAAACCTACAGCTTCCTTAACCGATGGAACTAATTTGACTCTAACCATCAACTATACCAAATTTACGATTTAGGTTATGTCAAGCAAGCGTGTTCGGTAAATTACACAGTGATTAACAAACTACAACTACATTAGCCGAACACTCGAACACGCTAGCTTGATTGATGATGATAATTAAACAATTTATTTTCATGCTTGGACGCGTACAGCGAAACACTTTAAAAAATAAAAAATGTTTGAGAAAATTGTTTAATTATTGTCATGGATAGTGTTATTATATTTTAAAAAGTAACGGTTCAGTCCTTTCATTATGCTTGCTGACATAACATATATATTACGAATCAGATATTAGTTCATTATCTGTGTTTTGTTAGCACTCGCATAGTCATTCTCGCTAAAAGTTATTCGCTAACTTTACTTGATGTATTTCGATCGAGAAAAAAGGAAGCGAATATCTTATGACAGTATTGACAGATCAGATAAGGTAATATAACAAAAAAAAAACAAACACGAGTGAAATTCAACCTTAGTCAATCAGGGATACACATATGTGTCAGACGTCCTCCTGACGAATCTCAGTTGAAAGGGTAAGGGAGAAAATTTCCAACCTGATGAAAATGAAGATGACTGGGAGAATATGTGTCAGATTTGAAATATTTTGATTTAAACAAATAAATACCCCCAATGAATCCCTGAAAATTGATTTGAATTGAAAATAAAACCTACTTTTTTTTATATAACACTGAAAATGCAGAACTTTCAAACCTACCGAAAAACATATCTATGCGAATAACGTACCATCAGAGGCATCTGGTGGACGAATATATTGTTAGTTCCATCAGTCCCAGTTTTTAATGCAGACATCATTTCAGGTGTCAAAACTAAAGTCCACGATGCGTTTCAGGAGTTTGTTTTTGTTATTGTTGAGTCAGGAGGTGGAAATTTGATGTAATTTGTCTATTATTATTGATAATAAAATATGGTTGTAATCGGGTTATTTCTAAAAGTTCATAAGATAACAATGAAATACTAGCTAGGCAGTTAAAATTGCATACTATCTTTTAAGAGTTGAGAGGCATTTATTTTACTATTTATAGTTTCTGAGGACTATCAATTAACTCGAAAAATTAAAATTACATGTGTTTTCTCTATTTGACGGACTGCGTTTCATGAATGAGAATGAGAATAAGAATGTTTGGCAGTTCATACAATGGACTGTTTTCTGAGTGACCATATCAAAAAAATACTTTTTAAGCTACATTCAATTCTTCTGGCTGGGATATTTTTATATCCTTTTGAAAGTTAAGAAATCGAATACTTTAGCTCGTTTTTCATCATTTTACATAATAATCAAAAATAGAAACTATGTAAATATTAGGCACATAATAGGTATTATTGTTACTCGACGCGTGTTCCGGTCACGTGTCGAAACACGTGTCGAGGTGTTAAAATAACGGATTGGTGTTGGGAATAAACTCCAGTAATATACTTCATTACACCAAAGATTCCAAACAGTGCATCATAAGTACATAACAAGTAGTCAGTATAACATATAAATCAGACACTGATATATTACTACAAATTACTACTAGAAATTCATTTATTGAATTTCATTTCATCAACCCCAATACCTGAGGATGATATGTAAATATATATTGATCTATTTCAAAAATAGAAATTCAGTTTTTTTCATCTCTAGATAATGCTAACTTCGTTATATAGTGAATCACGCGTCAAGAGACACTATATTTGTTCTGTTATGAGAACAGTGTTTTTTTTTCATTTTGGGTTAGAGGTTCCAATTCTGTCTATCAAAATAGATATGGTCTAATTTGATGAATTTGTTCCTGGAGTGGTTGATATTATCAGTCATCAAGTAGGTAATAAAATTTCATCTACAAAAAGTTGCATTGATGAATTTTTCACTTTATTCTTTGGAGTATAAACTTAAGTATTATTTGTTTCTGTCGGCAGTACCAAAAAATTTCGTTTGTTTTGAAATTTTATAGTAGGTCAGAAATATTTGAGAAATATCCCATTGTCATTGCTCAAATTTTCAGTCCTGTTCTAAAATTCTCAAAAATTTTTGTGATTTTTTTGTTAGGGAATCAATAACCTTTGAAAGAGAAATTGTTCATATTTGCCTATAGTACAGATAGAGATGTGTTATAGGATCTATTCGAGTTTTTACTATTTTTTACAATTACTACCTTGAATTTACAGTTCTATCAGAAATATGGAAAAAATCATATTATCGACATTTGTGACTCTTCAAATATTTGTAGCTAATTTTTATAGTTATCTTTCAATATATTTTCAATATCACCCGATATATCTTAAAATAATGATTGTTCATTATAATAATGTAGTGATGGATGTTTTTGGCTACAAAAAGGGAGGGCACATATCTTATTTTCAAAACGTCAAACTTCAATCAGAATAAAAAACGTCCAATTGATGATCTGTTCTTTTCCATCGTTCTATGACTTTTCTAGATGATTAGACGCGGTTTTAGTTTAGCAGTTTATGCCATTTATGCGTTTATGATATATGTTGACAGTTGCAATGTCTAGTGAAGGTGATTCCTCAAAAAGTGTGATATCTGAGGTGATTATACATTTTTTTTTGTAGTACCAGTAGGAAATGCTCTTAAAGAAAAGTATATTCGAAAAAGTTTCATCGTAAATGTACCAATATTTCAACGCCGAATGCGGCACAAACATGTTTGTTTTACCAATTCAATATGGCGGTGTTGATATTTGAAAAAGCGGGAAACGAAAGTGCTGTAGAAATAGCAGTTATTCTTCAAAATGTGCCAACTGATTTTCTAAATTATTTTACAGTCCAACGAGAAGAGTGGAACAGATAACAACACCGATGATTCTTCTCAAGATTCCCATGATGTGAACGACATCAAAGCTGCTAAAGCTTCTGATGCACCCACTGAAAACAATTTGGAAAGTAAGGATGAGGAGGAAAAATCTAAAGAAGAAATAGAGGAGGAGGATAAAAGTTCGGAAAAGTCGCCTGAAAAAGTAGATAAGGCCAACTCTGATAAAAAGGAGAAAGGTGATAGTGAAGATGATGAGGACGAGGAGGAAGACGAAGTAGAAAGTGAGGAAGTAGATGGCGGAGAGAAGGAAGATAAAAGTAAGAAAGATAAGGACGAGAAAAATAAGAAAGGCAGTGAGAAAACCAAGAAAGAGAAGGAAAAGAAGGCAAAAGGAGAGTCAAAAAGTGAAGACAATAGCGAGAGGGAAGATGGAGAAAGTGAAAAGGATGATAAAGATGGAGATAAAGAGGTACCTTTACTTGATCAACCTCTTGAAAAATCTGGCAAGAGAGAACGGAAAGGCGTACAGAGATTCAATGAAGAATTTAATGCCGAACCTAAGGAGGGGGTATGCTTGTAAATTACAAAATGATTGATTTTCATTCTGGTAGCGCTAGTTTTTAAAAGGATTTTTATAGTTTTTTCTTTTTTTGTCCATTTGACTATTATGGGAATTCACTTTCAGTAATAAACACTCTTGAAATCACCCCATTTTCAAAGTTTACACAGAAATAACAAAAATGAGTTCACTAAAACAACCTTTTTGGAATCATAATATCGTTAACTATCAAGAAATGAAAATTATACTGCAAAAATTTTACTCAGTTTTGCCCCTAGGAAAGTATTTGTTTATTCTTTTTAATTCAGTCTTCTTTTAAATGAAACACACTACACAAACTACAAACAAGAAATCAAATAGAGAACACATACATGTATTTTTTATTCTCTCAAATAATTAATGTGATCCTCAATAATGATTTTTTTAATTGCTACCTGCGGATCATCGAGATTAAATAAACCAATCTTCAGAATGCATCCTTTACTTAAGTTTTGTTAACTAAAAGGCACTTTTATTTGTACTTCAACCAGTTTTTATAGCTTCATTGGGTCAAAAACAAGCTTTATTGGAGTTAATATATTTGTTAAAATCAAAAATGTTTAAAACTGAGACGTATATGTGTGTTCTCTATTACAGAAGACTATTTTAATTGATGAAAAAGTGGCTTTTCTTATCTTTTCCATCCATCCATTCTAGTTGAATTTTGTAATATTGCTAATAGTCAAAGTGTCATGTAGTATCGTGAACCGTTATGATGCAGTTTGTTTGAGAACATACGATTTTGAGAAAATTGAGCTTTGTGTGGAAAAAATGGAAGTGGCAGAGTCAGAAAAAGGTGTCGTCTTAGGAGATTTTATTACCGAAAGTTGGAGCACCAAATTTAGACTAGTATTTTTTTATCATTGACTCATCATTAGCGAAGTTTGAAAAAATATCAATAATTGAAAAATACATAGTCATTTCTTATATTTTTTCAGGCCAAGGTGGAATTTGTTGAAGGCACTGGAACGCCTCTTGGAGATATCCCACGTGTCGATGCGTCAATATCTCGGTTTAAAAATGACGATTTGAAATTCCTTCATCGACTTCTCTTCAAAGTCATTGGCAAAAATACACTGATCAAAAAGAATATCAGGAAGTTTAACGGTTTTGATTTCAAAAAAGATAGTGAAGAGTATGAAAAGAAAGTTGCATTTGCTGGCAAATTTGAAGTAAAACAGTTGAAAAGCATGTGTGAGATGTTAGATTTGCCCAAATCTGGTGTCAGAGATGAAATTGCTCAGAGAATTGTCGATTTTTTGGTAGAACCAAAAGATTCTGGAAAACCAGTGGACGGTGGAAGACCTAAAAGAAGTGCAGCAGTGAAAGCCAACAATAGAGGTCAGTTTCAGTTTTTTATAATGGTAACATTGATTTGACTTTCTGGTTTCAGTAATACTGAACATTTGTTTCTTACGAACTATTTATTGAATTGATGAATTGAATAATGAAAGTGAATTCTGAATCTACAAATGTTTTATAGAGGGTAAAAGTGTATGCAAACTAGTGCTCAGATACTCTGATTAAGAAGCACCATTTAATGTGTTTTTAATAGTTCATGACTCTCATACCTTTTATTACAGAATATGTAAATATTTCATAAGATAACATTTATCTTAATTCTTAATTGTTATTTAATATTAGAAACATGTCTACTTCATGCATGGTTTTAATTTGGATTAATACTTATACACCCATTCTCTGAGGAATAAAATTATCAAATGTTCTGTTGAAACAAATTTAAAATTTAGATTTGCTACAGTAACACAAAAAATTAGATTTTGTAACCAGTGTGAAGGCAGTCATGGGTTTCAGCAACGAATTGGGGGAAATTACCGTTAAAAGAAAGAATACACACAATACATAAGAAATACAAATACATAAGAAATAATTTATTAATATTCCGAACAAATCTCTTAGAAACCAATGATGGCACAATAATTATTTTTAAGTATTAAATACTTAGTAAATACCTATCTCAGCCTTCATAACAGACTTGACATTTGTATCAACATTATTTTAATTTTAGGTAGTTTTACTTAACAGTACACACTTTATAAATAATCAACAAACCATAGAAATGAAAGTACTGCTATCTTTGTATCAATATTAAGCTGAAATAATAATAATAATTACTGTGTAATACCATGAGATTGAACTAAGTTAGTCTTAAAAAAAGTTTTTAGATATTTTTAGTTCTTACTTTTAGGTAGGTTTACTTAGGAGTTTTTATTTTTTGAAGTAATAAACAAAAGAAACAAAACTATAATAAAACAAATTGAGATCTTTTTCTCAGCAAAAAACAAAAATAATGCTTCAAAATAGTCTAGTCATTTTCTAAAAGTTCCCGAACTAAACTTTACCATTTAGTTTTGGCTTTCGTTGCTTTTTTGTTTGGTTATCTCCAGTTTTCTTATATGTCGGTGCTTAGATTTCCTTACTCTCGACTCTAACTTCACCTTATCATAAGACCATGAAAACTCTGTAGAACATTGTAGAATTGACTAAAATCACTAGAGAGAGAATCACTTAATATTTCATGGATGTGAATATTCTAACGCCCTATGTTATAATAGCATTCAGCGTGTTTCACAATATTTTAAATCTATAAGGCTTATTCGTTCATATGAAGTTTGGAAGTGAATATAAACTTATTTAATTAGGTATTATCAGGTAACAACTTGATGTTGGGATATTACCAGTATTCAGAACCTTTGATAACATATATACATTTATCTGCAGGGTATTCTTCACATGATGACTATTCTAGTGACGAAAAGCACTCCTCCAGAGCTCGTCGAGATAAAGGTATTGATATATTTTTTTACAGCATGTACTAGGTTGTGCGCTTCTGTGGTGACAGTTTAGCTAATGATAGACCAGGATCAGGTACCCTTACACTAACTGACTGCTTGAAATTTAACCTGCATTTGTGTTACAATATTCACATGATGTGTTTTTAAACTATCCCTTTGTAGCTTAGTCCACTTGCACAGATCTGCAAGAAATTATAACTGAAAAGTGCTTAATGGTGATGGTTTACAAATTATCAAACTGAAATGCTCTTTGTCTTGAAGTTGTATGTGAGTTGCAACATCTGAAGTTCTTGTTTTTTTTTGTAGTTTTTTCAAGTTGTAGTAGTTTGTCAATGTACTTAACATGTATACACTGTCACTAAATTGTATTAATAGACTTTGGAATGGATTTTCAATTGATATTTTTTTGAATATTCTGTAAACCTTGATTTCTTATATTACAATCGACAGGTGATAAAACAGTTTAAATATTGAATCCTACATAGGGAGTTAACCAGATTAGAGACTTCAATATTGCTTTTGTCTTTGAATATTTTGAACATTCTTTGAAATAGAGTTATATGAGATAAAATCACAACCAGCTTCTGTCTCATTAGGAGTTCCACAAGGCTCAACATTGGCTCCGCTTCTCTTTATAATATTTATGAGTGATACTGAAAATTCATGTGTATTCCCACAAAACACAATAATATATGCTGATGATACCTATCAAATAGTAGCAGAAAATGAACTTCTCTCTGTTCAAGCTGCAAATGAAACTGCCGGTGAATTTTCACAATGGTGCACAAATAACAGCCTACTTGTTGATGTTAATGAAACTGTTTTCATGAATTATCAACAACAGAATATTCCTAATGATCTTTGTTCACTAATAAAAATAGATCACAGATCTATAGAGCAGGTGAATCAATATAAGTATCTAGAATTATTGAATGATCAGAAGTAAACTCGGCGAGATCACGCAGATTATCTAATCTTAAAACTGAGTAGTATGTTAAAACAAAGCAACTAGGTTACTAGGAAATATTGAAAACTACAATAAATTAAAAAAAGCTTTAATGGACATTCTCTTGGAAAATATCTTTTACAATGTTAAAGAATTTTCAGAGACCGGAATGTGTAAGCTGCTTTTTTATTCTGTTTGTGTTGACTAGTCTAATAAATGTTGTACCACTAATGTATGTGTTATATGTGTATGATATTTCAATGATGAATAATTTATATTCTATAAAATATGCTATCTTCATAAATTTTCCTTAGTTACTCATCAACTTTTTCGGAATGTACCTCTTAAATCTTAGCAAAACGGGCATATGGAATCACTCGAACTCAATGTCTCAGATTGGTAGAATTTTCATTGACAATGTTTTTGATACTTAGACATGTGGATCAATTCATGTTACCGTTGCTCTTGTTTTTTTTCTTCATAATCATTTCATGGTCAGTTTGGCCTACTATAAGTAATTACTTGTGGGAGAGATACACTATAATGTTCTTTTTAGGTAAGAGACCAAACCTCAAAGAAGATAGTTCCAGTGATGAAGAATTCAAACCTAACTTATCCGACGGTAGTGAAAAAAAATCTCGCACCAAACGTAAGAGAGGAGCCCAGAAAAAAAAGTCATCGGAAGAAGAAGAAGTGAGTGATCCAAGCATAGCATCTTCCGATGAATCAGATGTAAGTTTTTGTTGTATAGCACCAATACTGTTATTGTTTTGTTCCCTAATTGAATATTTCAGGATGAGCCAAAGTCAAAACGTAAAAAGAGTCCTGTCAAAGCCAACAACAAATCTAAAGCAAAAGCAACACCAGCACGGAAAGGCAGAGCTTCGGCGCCAGCAAAGAAGACTCCATCTCGAGGTAGAAAGTCGAAGGCAAAGGCAGAAAGTTCTGATGAAGAAGAGAGCGAACACAAAGAGGAGGCCAGTTCGTCTGAAGATGAACCTCTAGTTAAGAAGGCGAAAAGTAGTCAACCGCCCACAGTAAGAAGCTTGTTTTTGTATTTCAGGATCCATTTTGAAAATTGTGTATTATTTTCAGGATGATGAAATCAAAACTTTCATTAAGAGTATATTGGAAGGTGCAAATCTGGAAGAAATAACTATGAAGACTGTTTGCCAACGAGTCTATGACCACTATCCAGATTTTGATCTCACCCAAAAGAAAGATTTTATCAAAACTACTGTAAAGTCGGTAAGTCTAATTTTTGATGATAGAAACTGAATTCCTTTCCAGACATTAAACAATTGCTATTAGAAAATGTGTTACAATTAAAGTCTATTCAGAAATAATTAGTATCAACAATGTCTTTTGCCTTTGAAAATAAACTTTACTATAAAAAATGTTTGGGTATATTTTATCAAGTAATGAGGCTGTGAGAGTATTCAAGATTCAAAAAACCATACATATCATGAATAAGCTAAATTTCAATTTTAGTGGTATTTGAAAAAGTGGAACCGTTGTTAACACTCAGTGTTTATTTAAAAATGCCTAAAGTTTGTTTATAAAATTAGGGACTAAGTTGAGCCTTTTGAAACACTATGTTCATAGGTACAAGACATGTTGAATTATAAAAAGGTTCATGTTTCTGTGTCGAATTTATCAAGAATGTGGCTATTTGATAAAAAGCAATAGAAAAGTTGATCAATTAAAAGAAAACATTAATCTTTATGATTCTTGATCTGGAACATTCTGCAATACCTGACCACCTGGTCATACTTATTATCAATCAATATCAATATTTATAATTGAGGAGATTTATACTGGAATGAATTTATTAATTTTTTTTTTCAGCTGATATCAACGTGAACTAAAAATGATTATTGTAGTTTGTAAGAGAACTTCATAGAACAACAATTTTGAAAAAATGTTTGTTCGAGTACAAAATTCAAATTGTTTTATTTCCCGTTTTTTATCTTTCTGCATTTTATTGATTCTACTTGTTGGAAAACTTAACAAATGATGATTATTTATAAATAAAAGTTTTACATCTTGTATCATTTCTTAACCTGAGTTTCCCCATTGTTCAGAGTATAATTCTTAAAATCTAGCACACTTTTTTATGTCAATAGTTCTAAGAGTTGTGACTCTGTTATCATTTTGTGTTGCATGTATATGTGTGTATATTGTGTTAGATTTTAAAGATTTATCTATTTTTAGTTTGAAAAGATCAGAATATTTAACTTTTTTTTGTACATTTCATAGTCTATTTCGGAAAATGGAACAAAATGAAATATATCTATATTTTCATATATCGGGTATTATTATAATTCAAACTTCGAAAACATTTTTAAATGTTTGTATGTTACAAAAATTCACTGACCTATGAGCTCACCTCTTAGGAAGCTTTATCATCATCAGATTGTCTATGCTGCTGTAGTATTAGATTGTAATAATAATTCAAATTGTATACATTCAAAAATACAATTTTTATTATCAGTTTGTTTTTGTTTCCTTTTTGCTATTTATCCTAGGAAGCTTTTTGGGTTATAAGGAAAACGGTGTGATTTTTTTAGAAATAAACTATCTTCCTGAAACAAAACATTAAAATGTAATTTCAATCTGGAGTACCATGAACCAAATTCAAATTTTTATAAAATTAAGGGATTTCTGAATCCAAAATCCTTTAACCATTACTGTTTAACCTTGAAACGTTGAGAAGTTCATATACTTTTGAACATAAATTAAAAAAAAAAATGAATTGAGAAAACCATTTAATGAATTGATGGATGTAGGCTGTTACTATGTGATAGGAAATCATCATGAAAAATGAGAATTAAAACTTACTGTGTTTTTATACCACTTGTATTTGTAACTAACGTTTCTGCAGTTTCATCCTATAAGGTATAAAAATATAGAAAGTTTTAATTCTCGTGATTATTTCGCGAAAAATATTCATTTTTCATTGCTTAATAGAAAATTGTAAAAAAATGTTTTTTGGGAAAAATAAACATTAAATGATGAAAAATTTGCCCATTCAATATCTTGATCCTATAATTTATATGTAAATGTTTTTATAATATAAGGAGTATCTTCAGAAATATCAGATATTGAGGAACTATGGAAAAAATATTTGTTTGAAGGAGATGAAGACGCCAACTTGTTCTTGAAACGTGCTTTGCGAAAAGGATTTCAGTTCTGGTGTTTGGGAAAAGTGCTTGTTTTGGATTGTAATTATATTTCTATCATAACAGACTCTTTATGATGGAAATACAATACCTTTGTACCTACTTGTAGGTATTTTCATATGAGTGCGTGTGTGAGGTCTTTGAAATCAATAAAGTTCATTAAATTAATGAATGTAGCTGTTCCTAGGTGATAGGAGATCATGAAAAATTAGAAATAAAACTTCCAATGTATTTGTAACTAACATTAGTTGCAAATACAAATGGTATTCAACATTCAATTCAGTTGTTTTAAAAACTTCAACTTTGGAATCTAAGAAAAGAATATTTGAATGGATTGAAAAAAACATGTTCCGGGCATTTACCTCTTTGAGAAGAATTAAACAAAGTTTCGGCAACACCGCTGTTGGTTGGGAATAGAGATCAACGCGGTTGAATGTTAGTAAATACTTCAAAGAGTTATCACTGAATGGAGTGTGAAACCAAAAATTATAGATAAGATACGCGCCGATGTATTGGCGTATTGGAAATTGTGAATTTTATGGTGTTAGAAACTTTCCTTTGAATTGCTTCTCATACTCCTTAATCCTAGCCTAGTTTGCAACAGTATTCTTTCCTTAAGCAGTTGGAATTAAAAAGTTGTCTCAATCATAAGTTTATTTAATCACTACTGAGTTGGTAATCGGTATATTCTGTGTCCGAGTTTATCATATTCATTATAACAGAACGCTATTTTGGTCCTTCGAGCTGGATTGGTGGTAACAAAAACTTAGGTGACAGGTGATTCAGCATAAAGTTGAATTACATTCAAGTAAAAATATTGACTAGGTTTGCATATTCTAGTTTCCTAAAAGATTGTGTTTGGAATTATGTTCTGTAATGGACATGATAAACAAAGAATACATTGAATAACTCGGTGGTGAATTATTGAACTCGTCTTGGTTATTTTGGTTCCAACTGCTCAAGGAAAAAAATACTGTTGCAAACTAGGAGAGGATCAAGGTGTATTAGGAGAAGCAGTTTAAAGAAACGTCTTTGATCACAATAAAAATTTCTAATATGAAAAATCATCGGCGCGTACCTTCTCTATAATTTTCCCTTTCACACTCTGTTCAGTGATCGACTTTAAAATAGTAACATTCAACTGTATTCCAAACCCACAGCGGTGTTGCCGAAAATTAATTTAATTTTTCCCAAATATGTAAATGTTCGAACAATATAATCAATATTGAAAAAGGAGGAATAAACATTGAGTATAAAATGTAAAGTATAAGAATGGTAATCATGAGAAACAATTATAGTGATCTAAAACTTCCATAAGTGTCTATAATATACAAACAATAAAGACCATGATGAAACATCAAAAATTCTATTTGAGCGCATCGACTCTGTCACCAGTGAACCTGTTATATAATNCCAGAATAGAAACGAACCGTCATCAGCACCCTAGTGAACAGGGCTTTGAGAATATGTGAAGAAAGGTAGGTCGACGACGAAATAAAATACCTAACAACTGTATTACAAGCCAACGGTTACGACAAAAAAGCCATAATCCGCGCTACACGTCCAAAGGAAAAGAAAAGAAACACCAGTGAAGACCAACCCCAAAGCAAGGTCTAAATGCCATACATAGAAGGTGTCACCAACCGAATCGGGAAAATTCTAAGGAAGGAGAAAATCAGCACCGTCTTCAAACCAACTAAAAAAATATCTGAGTATCTGAAATCTATATCTGTCAGACTAAAAAACACGTTAGTACCTGCCTAGTCGAGCACAAGCGGAGTTGCCGATTGGGACAAACCGAGAAGTCTGCAGTCGCAGCACATGTACTGTCCGACGGGGAACACAAGATCCTGTTCGAAAATACCGAGAGGCTAGCAACTTCGAATCATTATTTAACAAGAATGTATTTAGGAGCCATAGAAATACACAAACATCAAGCGAACTTCAACAGAAAGGAAGAGAGAACATATCTAGCAAAGATCTGGCACACAGCTTTGAAAAGCGCCAAAACGAAGCCAAGTCAACCAAATCGCGCGGGAACCACTCGCGAATCCGCCATTACAGAAAGTGCGCGAAAAATCAGCACTATAAATGACATGGCAGAAATGGGAGCTTCAGTTTCAGTTGACACGTCAAGAATAGTACTTCAACCACGCCACTGAAGATGACTGCCGCAGTTGAAAAGTTTGGAGATTATAACTAAAAAGGACCCCTGCAAAACTCAATAGCCAATCAAAACATTGACACCAGCCATTAAAGCCTACAATTCTATATAATTAATAGACTAGTTAGTGTTAATATAGTCTGGATGAATCCATGCTGTTCTCTAATATAGGATAAAAATATTTGAATTGTGTTACAGCTCATCAAATATCAACAATATCCAGAACAAGCATTTATTATTGACAATTTTAATTGTACAATAAGCACACGTAAAATATTCTTTGTTTCATGGTTGTGGGTTCTCAAAAAAAAATGGAAATGGTTGATTTATTATAAAGTATCTCAAAATTTGAATTGAAGGGATTACATTTTTTTGGAGTGATTAATTTTTGGGAAAGAAAGTTCTTGGCTTTCTTCTACTCCATCTTGATACAAAAAAAATGTGAGAATCTTCCNTTCACGATTTCAGATGGTGAATGCAAGTCGATGACTCTCTTGTGGATACGCATCTGGAATCTGTCCCAAGTTTTTGAACCTTCTCCACAAGGTGTTTTACGTGTAGTGATGCGCAAAATCTTGGTGGGCATACGTACTGGTCCCTTTACTTTCAGCTTTTGCTTTTTGGCTGCATCGATGAGATCAGAACAAACTTTCTCCAAGGAGCGAACATTACGTGAAGTTAAAGTTATCCTAATGTGGTGGATTGGAGCAATGTCTTGTCCAGGTTTTTCTGGATTGACTTCTTTTGTGGATGTCTATAAACAAAAAATGAACTGTTCATTCGAAAAAGAGTCTTGATTGTAGATGTGATGTGCCAACTTTTTCAGAGTCATCAGGAAATGACAGTCTAAAAAACACCACATTTATAACTCTTTGTTGTTTATATGTAGTGGTTTATATTCTGAACTACCTTACTTCATATATAGAAAAAAGATAACCACCACCATGTTTGAATCAAGATTTTGTACCATTTTACTTTTAAAAACTATACTTTATCGACAGCGCAATATATAACCTTTAACAAGGTTCTGAAGTGATAACTGATCAAAAGAACGATTTCCGTTTTTCCTTATTGGCATGCAGATGGATAAATCACAAGCTGAAATTAATGATGCAAACAAGATATTGAAAGCATTACTATCTGATTCAAAATCTAAAGTGGATATTTGTGAGAATAGCACTGAAGAAACTTAAAAAGGCATCTCTATTAAAATTTATTGATATAGAACATTATCAACAGTCCAAAGTGAAAAATGCCATTAATTTTTCACTGACGATAATAGGTACGGTTAAGGCTCCTAAGCTGGCATCAAATAATGCTGATAAATCAACCCTACATCATTTTATTCAAATTGTTCATTAATGATATTTTATTGAACATGTATTTTAAAAGACTGATTTAACCACCACTGATATTTTACAACTGGTTTTCTGAAGTTGAAAGAACACGTGTGCTTTAACCTCAATTATTTTTATGTTGCTGGTAAATCGATTTCAAATGTTTTCCTAAATAGGAATAAAGAAATATCAAATACATACCATTTCGATTACTATGGTAGGTCGAGATAATCAAATTTCTTAAGAAAGAATTGATCAGCGCTGAACCTTCCGTCACAAGTAGAGCACAAACAGAGGAAGAGAGGTGCGCGAGAAAGTACAAAATCCAGTTTTTCTTTTTAAAGTAGTAGGCGACATCTAGGCTAG